AGAACTCGGAAATACGCCGTTCATGGTGAGTTGGAAAGTGGAGGGCGCGTTCGTGAGGCCAAAGGGCATCATTGTGTACTCGTAGCGGCCATAGCGGGTGCGGAACGCCATCTTGTGGCAGTCGTCAGCGAAGACTAGGATCTGATGGTAACCGCCGTGTAGGTCAATTTTCGAGAAGAAGCGAGAGTCGCGAAGTTGATCGAGAAGGTCGTCCGCGCGTGGGATTGGGTAGCGAGACTTGATAGCTCGCCGATTCAGCGCCCGGTAATGGATGCGCATTCGCAGTCCTCCGTCTTTTTTGGGTGTGAACAAGATTGGAGCTGCAAACGGGGACGTGCTGGGGCGGATGAACCCTTTCTCCAAGAGGTAGTCCAGCTGGCTCCGTAACTCCGTGAGCTCGGGCTGAGTCAGCCGCCACTGGGTTCTGACGGTTGGCTGCGCGCCGGGTTCCAGGTCAATTTTGTGGTCTTGGGGGCGCTCGGGTGGCAACCCTGGTGGCAGGTCATCCGGAAAAATATACAGTGGCGGAAACAATTGTCCACATGTTTAGCATGTGGACACATTTTGACGAGCTTTACGCTATAAACATTAAGCCTTAATTCATGGTGGCCATACACGTAGAGAGCAGCAGTTGGAGCACTCACTCAAATCTCCTAAAACCAGAGTAGTATATTTCATGGTCCTTCAAGACGATAACATTTAATAACAGCACATCCGGACAATTTGTACCGGGGACAGGCAGCAAACTAGTTACTAGCAAAACTAGTACCTAGTCAACCGACACTTGGCCTTGATCACCACCTACACCCTCCTAGGCATGTTATCTACGAGGTTAGTGCAAACCTTTACAGGGATCTTCTCACACTCTTCCTGGACCCACGCTTTTGCATAAGGGGGTGAGCACTAGGAAAATCGCGAAGTATTTGAACGTATGCAAGAGTACTGTGCACGATTTCATGTTGAATGTTATCTCTAAGACTAGCCATGCTAAGGTGTGGCCAAAGATGCCATTAGTCGATTGGTCTCGTCTTATCATGGATCATCTTCATCGCACCGTTGTAGGTAAAAGTTACGAGCAGGAGTGGCAGAAAATTGCGTATCTGCCACGAAACTTAGGGTAACATAGCACGGGTGATAGTGCATCCTTGCACTATTAGAATCATTACTAGGATCCGTATGTCTCTGAGCGGTACAGCAGTCGAAGTAGTCGTGACTGGTGGGGAAAAATATCCGGATTGAGATCTGGTGAGGAAAAGGGTCACTCCAGCGTAACATACGCGTGTTCTCTAAGCCATTCTAAGCCATGTGTCCGCCTAGGCTTGGAATGGCTTGGAGAGCATGAGTTATAGCATGAGTTTGTCCCGCCTTTCCGCTTCGCTGAAGGTCGTCCACTTGGTCCGCAAGTGCCTGAGAACGACGTAGTGTAATCTTGAACAGTAGTCACTGCCGCAGGTGCGCAGCTTCATGCGAGCGTCGTCTGAGGCGGATGAGTGCTCAAAACGAGCTCGTAGAGCTGTGCCCTACTGTTTCCACGTGCGAATCGTGGTCATCCCGAATATCGTTTCTGCTTGTTGGTTTGAAGATTCCGAAGACCCGTCCTTCGCCTGCTTCACTCCTGCCGGAGTCCCGATCGCCAACTGTCGTCGTCACCAATCCAACGCCGGTCCTCGGAGCAGCGACACGCATAATTAATACGCGCATCGTCTGTATGCACACTTGCCGCCGTGAAGAACAACTCCATGCTGAACAGCCACCCTTGCACCGTCGTCGCCTTGTTCGAGGGGTTGAACGGGACGGTGTGGCTGGCTTGAGTTTAATCTTCGTCACGGTCACCGTGCGCACGTCGTCCTGCTCCAACTCCCGTGCGAGCTCGTCAAGGACTGTCTCGCTCGCTGCGTCGTCGGCTTCTAACTTGACATTGTCCTCTGCGACTCCAGGCGACTCCTTGACGCGCTTCACCACGCGTCTGGCGAAGCTCGGTGTTCTCTGTCCGAAGTCTCACAACTTCACAGTTCAAACTCGCCATCTGGGCTTGCAAACGCTATCATAGTTGTGTGAGCTAATAACTCTAGCTCACGGACAACCGCTTTGCAGCCCCGAAGGGTTAACCACGCCTTGGAAATAAACTACCCTGAGAAAAGTGGGGTGAACCAGGAAAGTGGCTCTGATACTAGATGTTATGAATAATAACTCATAGTGCGCGGAATCATAATGACGAGTACAAGGATGCTAGCCTAGCATTATATATTGAGGACTCTAGCTAGGCGACGAGCCCGGAGGACTTGGTTGGGTAAAGGCGCGGTCGAAAGGATCGGAGGCGGTGCGGGCTCGCCTCGGGGTCGCGTCGGAAAACGGACCGAGCCTGGTCTTCCGAGAGTTCTGGTGTGCGCGATTGTAGTACAACCCGGTAAGGAATAAAATTCCTTACAGGGTACACGCACGAACCCGAAATCTGTTACTGTACTGCATTCCGCAAAATCGAAGCCCCAGATCTGTACTAATGTACATCCCACTATGTCAGGCACCATCCTTTGACTAACGACAGCTGTTGTAGATTTACGACTGACGTCCCGTGAATCCGCGTTCCCCCTTAGACTTCCCAGGCAGTCGTCGGCACTGAGTGAAGTCGCCGCGTTTGTCCGCCGAGTATTCCTACGACCGGCGTTTTCCTCCAGTCAAAGCGTCATACTTCCCCCGCGACCATGTCTCAGGTCCGCGCGTCTCACATTCTCATCAAGCACCAGGGCTCTCGCCGTCCCGCATCCTGGAAAGACCCTAACGGAGAGACAATAGGGCGGACGACGAAGGACGCGGCGATTCAGCAGCTGCTGGCGATCAGAGAGCGCATCGCCAGCGGCGAGCTGGATTTCGGCCAGGTCGCCAAGACCGAGTCGCACTGCAGTTCCGCCCGAAACAACGGGCGATCTGGGTGCGTTATCGAATAGCGTTTTTACTAAGAGAGTCCGTTGGAGGGCGAGGATACGAAATCAGGTTACGAAGTAGGCATCAGGAGCATCAGGAGCATCAGGAGCATGCAAATGCTGCCATTTTCCCACCCGCATTTTCCGCAGTCATTTTCTTATCAATTCTTGCATTCAATGTCAGCGCTGGGCATATCCTTGTGGTCGCGATCACAAACTAGGTCAGTCGCCGGCTATGGCAGATGCGTACGGATGGCCTCTAGCGAATGCTGGTTATGACCGATGGGGCTGAATCCACATTGTGCCAATTCTAATATCTCCCAGAAATCTAAGCTCCCAAAAACTGTTCTCTTGTCGCCAGTCTGCTGTTCGATTTCTGCTCATTTCGTCCCGTCCTCCCGCCGTCCTCCCGCCGTCCTCCCGTCGTCTTCCCGCCGTCATCCCGCGTACCCCTTCTTCCAGGCTGGTTCAGCCGCGGTCAGATGCAGAGACCGTTTGAGGAGGCGACGTTCGGGATCAATGTGGGCGAGATGAGCGGCATTGTGGACACCGACAGCGGCGTGCACATCATCCTGCGCACCGGATAAATCAACAGCACTGGATGTACGAACAGCAGCATTTTGCTGACAAGAAATGTGGCCTCCTTTGGGACAAGCCTGGTTGGAGCAGAAGGGAACAGTGGAGAAGGGATTTTGCCGATCCGAGTTGTGCTCCTCTGTCGCTGCAGGGTGGTCTCAACTCAATCTCAACTCGAGGTTTTTCCTTTTCTGTTCAGTCGAATTCCAGTGGAAGATTTACTGCTGGCTGTTATCTAGCTCGTGTTGCATGGCATGCATGCTCCAAATTTCTAGGTTGTGCAGGAGAGGAGAAAGGTCAAGAAAGATGGATGGCTGCTTTCAGTGGAATCCTTGTGCCATGATGATTCATAGGCGAAAAAGTAGCTGCACTCACTGATTCTAGCACGCACGCACACACGCACACACAATCGGCACACACTGAACACCTGTATCCCTCACTAACTGCAATGCAGAGCACACACAATCGGCAGATGGCTGCACCTGACTCCTAAGCCTGCGTGAACCGTCTGCCAGTCGCTCCGCAAAATGCCAGACGTCCACGCATTGCCACACATTGCCCTGGTCCTTCAATCCTTCACGAGGAGTCTATTTTTGAGGCGCCTCAATAAGAGACTCCTCACACATTGCCACACAGTGCCCTGGTCCTTCAATCCTTCAGCCTTCTTTTCAGCCTTTGCAACATCTCTCCCTCACATCCACCCCATCTGCTCCTCAAGGGGATGCAAGCACAATCTCCTCAACCCTTCAACCTCTGCCTTGAATCCAATCCTATGTTCCGCCACCTCCATCCTCCATCCTCCATCTTCTGTTGCCAAGAACATCTTCCCTCGCCTCATTCATAGGTTGGCGTGTTGGAGGTTGCAGCAGCTGCAGAGGCTGGGGAGGCCCCTAGCTGTGGTCCTGGCCGGCTATTTGTCCTCCCCTTGTGGCCACTGGTGTGTGCATGGGTATGGGAGTGGCTGTGGCTGTGGGAATGGCTGCTGCCGTGGGGAGGATGATGATGATGATGATGATGATGATGGTGAGACTTGGCCCCACTACCACCCACAGCACCAGCAGCACCAGCACCAGCAGTACCAGCAGCAGCAGCAGCAGCAGCAGCAGCAGCAGAAGCAGCAGCAACAGCAGCGGCAACAGCAGCAGGGGGTCTGACCTCTAAAGGACCAGGAAAGCCACCGTTGCCCCGGCTTCCATACTCTACCCGCCTTCCATCCACACTCCCCTTCTCCCTCTCACGCGTCTCATGCCCCTCCCGTCGCTCCCTTCTAGAACCGCCACTACGCAGCCTCCTCTCCCCTCCTCCCCCATGCCCTCTTTTACCTCAACTCCCTCCCGCCTCTCTTTCCTTGACCCTGCTGGGCGCAGTCTCCTCTCCCCCCGTTCCCCCATGTCCTCTTTACCCTCACCGCCCTCCCGCCTTTCCTTCCTAGAACCAGCACTCCGCAGTTTCCGCTCCCCTCGCTCCTCCATGCTCTCTTTGCCATCGTGCCCTGTGTGCTCATGCCCATCCCGCCTTTCTGTTCGAGACCCTTCTGTACGCAGCCTCCTCTCCCCCTTCCCTCCACCCCTCTCTGCCCTCACGCCCCTCCCTCCTCTCTGTCCGCGACCCTGTGCTGCTCAGCTTCCTCTCTCCTCTCCCTCCACTCTCCCTGCCCCGCCCTTCTCACTCCTCTCTCTCACCTTCGAATCCACCTGCTTTTCCTGCGCTCCCTTCCCCTCCTGGCTTTCCCTTGGCTCTCCTGCTTCCGCTTCTGGCAACTCCCAGACCTTGCTACCACCCTCAATCTCGTTCCTCTGGCTGTTCCTTGTTCTTTCCAAGTCACTGCTCCTGCTCCTACTGCTGCTTCTGCTCCTGCTTCCGCCTCTGCTCCTGCTGCTGTCTCCACTTCTCCCCCTGCTACTGCTCCTGCTCCTGCTCCTACTTCCGCCCCTGCTTCTCCTTCCCCTCCTGCTTCTACTGCTGCTTCTGCTCCTGCTTCTGCTCCTGCTGTCCATCCCACTACTTCTATACCCATCGTCGCTTCCACTGCTCGGGCTCAGGCTCCTGCTCCTGCTTCTGCTTCTGCTCCCACTCCTGCCTCGGCTGAGGCTAGTGCTGCGGCTGCGGCTTCGACTACCGCTCTGGCTGCGGCTGACACTGCGCTCGGACGGACTGCCGCTAGAGTCTCTTCGGCGTCTTGGCCTGCCCGCGCGCGGTTCGAGAGTTTCTCCGCTGGCGAAGGGCTGCGGGAGCTGCTTGGAGAGCTGCTTCGGGATTCGCTTCGGGATCTGCTATGGGCGCTGTTGTTCCCAGACTCGCTTTGGGATCGGCTTCTGCTTCGGGAGCGACTGGTGTAGGACCTGCTTCCAGACCTGCTTCTGGTTCTGCTTCGGGATCTGCTTCGGGATCTGCTCCGGGACCTGCTCTGACTCCTGTTCTTGCCACTCACCCTATGATAACTCCGACGGCTCTTCCTCCCCCCCTCCTCTTAGGCCGCTGCACATCCCTCCCCTCCACCTCACTCACCTCACTCGTACTCGCAGTAAGGCTGTCTCTGTCACTCCCCACCGCACCTCGCTCCAAGCGTCTCCTTCTCTCCTCCTCTTTCCGCGCTCTCCTACCCTTGCCCTTCCTCCCCTCTCTATCTCTCTCCCTGGAGCTACCTTTTCGCCATGACCTACTGCTGCTGCTCCTGGAGCTAGGTGTCCTGCTACCCCTGCTCCCCCTGCCTCCCCTGCTTCTCCTCGTTCCCTTGCCTCCTCCGCCTCTCTCCCGTTCGCTGCTGCTGGCACTCCTCCTGCCCCCCCCTCTCCTCCTCCCTCCTCCCCGTCCCCCCCCATCCCTGTCGCTATAGCTATCACTATCTGTCTGCCGCTGAAGGTCCTGCACTCGCTCCTCCTTTCTCCTCCCTTTCCCACTCCCCTCTCTCCTTCCCCCGCCATCTCCATCCAACCCCTTCCCTTGCTGGCCGCCAGCCCTTCTCTCCTCCGCCCTCCTCCTCCTGCTCCTCCTCTTCCTCCTCTGGCTCCTCTTCCTCCTCCTGCTCCCCCTGCTCCACCCCCTCGTTCTGACCCCTCTTCACCCTCACCGTGTGCCACACTCAGTCTGCTCGGCCCTCCCAGACCCGTAAACGCCCTCTCCTCTCTTGTACTGTGTCCTACCCCCAACCCCAACCCCACCAGCAGCAGCAGCAGCAGCAGCAGGGGAGTTCGCACCACTGCTGGCACCACTTCCGCTGCCAGTGCTGCTATAGCCGGTGCCATGCCCCATGGGGTGATTCAGCCGCCCCGGGGCGTTCCCAGCAGCAGAGCCCAGCGACAAGCCCCTGAACCCCCCGACCACATGCCCCTCAGCAGCAGAGAAGTGACCAGCACCGCACCAGCACCCGCAAAAGAGCCACCAAAACCACCAGCACCAGCCCCACCGCCAGCACCAGCAGCACCAGCAGCAAAAGAAGCACCAGCACGACCAGCAGCAGCATGGGAGGCAGCAGAGGAGGGCACATGCCCGCTGTGGTCGAACCACTCATTCTCCGTCCGCCTCTCGATGAAACTCCCGACCGCTGCGCGAACCGCCTCCTCCCCCCACACCCTCCCCATGCTCCCCATGCCCCCCATTTGGCGGACTCCCCCCCACCTGCCATACCCCCAGGCGAACCACCTCCCCCTCCCCGACCCCTCCCCCCCCTAGTGCAAAGTCCTCCATCCCCTCCCCCCCCACCCTCGTGCTGCGCTCCACAAAGCTGCCAAAGCGGCGGCTGTAGCCCAGGGGCGAGTGGGAGGGGCTGCCAAGGGACCGAGTGGGGCTGTTGAAGGAACGGGTGGGGCTGGAGAAGAAAGGGTGGACGGCAGGGGGTGTGGAGGCGGAGAGAGGGAAGGCTACGCCTCGGGGGCTGCGAGGTGGCATGCCTCCTGCTGCTACTCCTCCTCCCCCTCCTCCTGCTGCTGCTGCTGCTGCTGCTGCTGTTGATGCTGCTGCTCCCACGCCTCCAATCCTCCCTGTTCCGGCGCTTGCTACTCGCCTTGGGCTGACAGGAGGAACGCCTCTGGGGCTCAGAGGCACAGTGGAAGAGTGCCTGTACTGCTGTGGGGCCCTGGGTGAGTTCCCCCTGGGTGTGGCCGCCCCTGGGTGTGACCCCCCTTGCTGAACAAGAAAGCCTTGCCTGGCATTGCCTGCTGCTGTGAAGCCACTCATACGAGGGCTGCGGGGACCCGTCCTGGGCGATTGCACGCCCTGCATGCCATGCGTCCCATGCGTTCCATGCGGCCCATGCGGCCCTTGCATGCCATGTGCGCCTGAGAAGCCGGCAGAAGATGCGTCCGCGCTCCCATGAAACCCACCGAACTCAGAGCCAATACCGGCCACTGCCCCAGCCTTTCCCCCTCCACCTGCCGCTCCCATTCCGCCTGCTCTTGCCGCACCTGCCCCCTGCCCACGCCTTTCACCACAAGTCCACCTGCTGGCCTCACTGGTCCGTCACTCGGCTGCACATACCCGCCCCCGTGCCAGCCCCCTTGCATACCCCCAGCACTCCCCCCTGCATGCCGCCCTGCGCCCCTGCTCCCACCACTTCCGACCGTGTGCGCCGGTGGCGCTGCGCTGCTGCCACTGCCCCTCCTCCTGCCGCCCCTGCTATCACTGCCCCTGCTGCCGCCCCTGCCACCCCCCCTCCTGCCCCTCTCCCTGCGCCTGCAATCATTCCTCTGCCCCTCCCCGCTTCTCGCCCTCCTCCTCGCCCCCCCCTGCCCGTACCTCGCCCGTACCCGTCACCAGTGCTTCCTCCCACGGACAGAGACCTGGGCTGGACCGCACGCAGCGGAGTGGCGATGGCCGCATCCCCATGATCGTCATCATCATCGTCGTCAGACTCATCATCGAAATCGTCTGATAAGTTACTTTCATGGCCCAACTGCAATTGGTCGAAGCCCTCTTGCTGATGATGCTGCTGGTGCTGGTGGTAACCCTGCTGTATCGGCAATGCGCTATTGGGCCGGCGGACCTGTCCCTGCAATGGACTTTGAACCTTTCGCTGCTGCTGCTGCTGCTTCTGTGCCATCTCAGAAGCACCGGGAGCCCCGCCAGCCCCTCTCATCCCAGCAGCAGCAGCCGGAGCAGCAGAGGAAGCAGCAGAAACGCCAAAGCCACCCCTGGCCGCAGCAGCAGCAGGCACCAGGTTCTCAGGGGGGGTCGACACCGTTCTGCGGTGCACCGGCCTCCTAGGCGACTGCTGCTGCAGCTGCTGCTGCTGCTGCAGGTGTTGAACCTGCAGGTGCTGCTGCTGCTGCAGCTGCTGCTGGGGGGACACAGCAGCGCCAATGCCGCCCACCATGACCTCCCCCTCCACATCGAGCCCCTCCATCTCATGCTCCTCTATGCCCATTCCCGCCCCCATTCCCCCGCCTCCTACCCCCGCCCCTCCCCCTCCCCCTCCCCGCATCCCGCCACTAGGGCTTCCCCCTCCCCCTGCGCCGCCCCCAGGGGGCAATTGGCCGGGAAGGGGCGTGGTGTTGCTTCGAGGAAACGACCCTGGCGTGGGCTTATTGGGGTTGTCGCCACGTGGCCCATCAAACGAAATGCTTCGGTTCGACTGCCATGGTGCTCCCGCACCGGTTTGGCTCGGCACCCCACCTGGCATCTGGTTCGGGGACCCCGAACCAGAGGCGCCGATGCCCAATCCGGCATACCTCACTGGATCCATTCCTGCTGAGCCTAAAGCCCCTCCTGCCGAACCTCCAGGTTGGGCCCGGGCCTGAGGTCCTCTCCCCGCCACCATGGATTGTGCCTTCCCCATCCTCCCCCCAACTCCCCCTCCGCGCGCCATTCCCGTGTACGGGGGAGCCCCGCGGGGAGACACCGCGATATGACTTCCCCCTGCCCCCCTACCGCGACCAGGTCTGGTGCTGCCCGCGGGCGTGCCGGCAGCGGTGGCGGAACCCGCGCCAACTCCCCGCCCAAATTCCTCCGCCATGGAAGCGTTTCCGCCCATATCCATCCCCATATCCCACCCGGGGCCATCCGACCCCCCTTGACATGCGCCGACGGCGCTAACGGACATTGCGCGCCGATGCTGATGTGGCCTTTGCTGCCGTGCCATCGGCTGCTGCTGCTGCTGCTGCTGAATCACCCCTGTCACCTGCCCCCCATCCCATCTTCCAAAATCATCCCCAGTGCCAGCGGTTCTTCCGCCAGCCCTCCCGCCGACAAGGCCGCCTCCCCCGCTTCTTCCCCCGCCCCCGCCCCCGCCCCTGTGACTTACAGGACTGCCGCGGGCGCCGGAGAGCATGCGATCAGGGGGGGAACGACGAGGTTCGGGTTCGACTCCTGCTGTCGGAAAGTTCACTAAAGCACCCGCGGCAACACCAGGAGTGCTAGCCGCTAGCCGGTGCTGCGACGCGGAATAGGCTGAACCGCCTGCGCTAGCATTCGCGGAACGATTAGGGATACCGTTTTCGTCGGGGCTGGCGAAAGTGCCGTGATCTGCGGATAATCGCCTGGTGACGGGAATGGCCCCTGCGACGTCGCTCGCGATGCCGTCGGCGACATCGTCAGGCGATTGTCGGTTGTAAGAGGACATTGCTAGAGAATGGACGAGCAGGATAAGAGCATCTCACGAGTAGGCTCCGCCAGAATGGACAATTTTCGTAACGCGAGAAGAGACGTTAGCGCGATGCCGCACACAGGGATCGGTCGCAGATGCTACCCAGGCAATTATAAATTAGAGCGATCTGGATGAGGTAGGTCCTGTAAAGTGAGACGAGGATATGGTACGGACAGGGGAGGGTTTTGGCTGGTTTGGTGGCTGCACTGTAGTTTGCCGAGGGCTCACGCTTGGCTTGTGTGGGGTTGTCGTGGATGGAATCGCAGATTGTCGTCAAGGGGGTCGCACAGGATAATCTCGAGATCCCTTGGTTGATGCGAGAATTGTGCGACACTAGGGTTGTTGGGGGCAGGGCCTATGTTTGACGGGTAATTTTCCGGACTTTGATACTTTAACGGGTCTATTTGAACTTGAACTCCCTGTTGACGGATTCTGTTATCTCTGAACCCGGGGGTTAACGGGTCGATTCTGGCTCGAAAACGGGCTGTAAACGTAGGCTTTGAGGGATTTTGGCCTGAAAACGGACTTTGACGAGTACGACTTTGGCCGGAATCGGACTTTAACGCGAGGGTCTCAAGAAGCGCGAAACCAAATCCAAAGCGAGGGTGGCTTTGGTAGGGAATCCGGATTTGACGAGTGGCTAAAAAACCAATCTGAAGCCCTGGTTGGGAGCGGTTGCCTTCTGTTCCGTGATGGCCACATGTGACAGTGCTCACTCGCTGTATGTTATCTACTTTCAATACCCCTTGTATGGTGACGTTATTTAAACAAGCTTTTTATGCAAACACGAGGCATCTCTTTGCGGACAATCGCAGTCCGTGAGCCTCCGCCACAAGCCTGACATTACAGTACCGTGGTTGAAGCCCCAACGCTTTGCCACGTATCTTCTGACTGGCTGGCGTGGAGGCAGGGAGTTTTTTTCTCGGCCAGTGGCGTTTGGCCCTTATCTGACTCGTGGCGCCTCCACCTTCGCCTGAAGGAATTCCGTGGATCCCAGCCCTTGGAGAGCGAACCTCACGAAGTGCACAAATTTTCCGTTTTGAACCAGGAATGAGGCGGAAGGTTCTTGAAATTCGTAAAATAATTCGATGTAATTATTTTCTTGTGTTTGAGCTGTTCGAATTACCGGATTGCCCGACCGAAAGTTCGGTTCCGTAAATCTTGTGACTTGTCACGACTTGACCGTCAGAAGCGCCTCGGTAGGCTTGGGAAATGCGCTTCGATTCTGAATCTCTGTCCCGCTGACAGAGACAAGGCACGACAAGGCACAAACACCTCTGTCATTTTTCTGAACATGGTTTTTTTCCGAACCCATGTTCGCGCAACTGTTTCGCAGAAATTCGCGAGGGGCGAACATGCTAACCAATATTGAAATGAGCATGGGGAGGAATAGCCTTTGGGCGTGTCACAATTATGGGGTGGTAATTTCCAGGTTATCGCGACAATTTGACGAGCTTCGTTAAATGTGTTACTTTCGCAAATTCTTGGTGTTCGCTTCATGTTCACAAAAATGTGACGCGCCCTAAAAATCGGACTGGTCCCTCCCTCCCCTTCTCCCACCCCTACCCATTTTCCATGCTAGCTTCACCCAGCTTTCCGCAGACTGCCACCAATAAATCCATCAGTGCTTAGTTTCGCGAGCTGAACTCGTTGAGGTTGGTTTGCACACGCATCTGGAGAGAGTCGGTGATTCTCATTCCGAATTCCAGTACTCGCCTGGCTTATATTCAAATTCTGCCGTCGTGCCTCGATCGTGGTGCACTGAGCTCTCAATCAGTTGACTAGGACTGGACGCAGTCGCCGACGGTTCCCTCACAGCAAGTACCATAACTCGCCGTTTTTGTTTCCGTAATCGATTACAACTTGCCGTTTTCTGCTTCCGTAGTCGTCGCTTATCGCCCGCCATGTCGCGACGCTATACCTATTGCCTAGCCTCCCTCATCTTCCTCTGCACATTCCTCTGCCTGATCTCCGCCAAATCTCAACCACAAGCCGGCATCGCAGCGTCTCATTCGCAACGCGCAGCCGACACGCAACGGCGGCATGGCGGCTTCCGAACACCGCGTTTCTCGCCGAGTCACCGCACCCTCCTAGTAGACACGCCTTCCGCCGAACCAGCCGCTAGAAACGAAGGTTCAGGCCTTCCAGGCGAAGGTTTGGCCGATCAAGGCGAAGAATCTTACATAGTGCGCGCCGAGCCGGTCCCGAAACGCATTCTTAGAGTCGCATCCCCGGAGCCCGCGCAACGTGGGAGACGACAGCTGAACGCAGCGGAGGGCGCAGCGGCGGAACGGGGGGGAAGCGGAAAGAGTGGGGAGAGCGGAGAGAGCAGGGAGACGTGGACGGAAGCGGAGGAGCAGGAGCTCGTCATTCCCAAGGGTGTGGCGTTCTATCACCGGGGGAAAAATCGCGGGGGGGACGGGGGAAGCGGAGGGGGAAGCGGAGGAGCGGGGACCAGATTAGCTGCGCCCGTCGATATCACACCGAGCAAGCGCCGGAATGGGAGTGGGGGCCAGGCGTCGGGGGGGAGCAGCAACGACGGCGCGGGGAAGTTCCCCGTGATCTCCCCGGGGGGCAGCGGCGGGGCCGGGGGCGGTGGGGGAAGCTCGGGGGGAACGAAGAAGAAGCGGGGCGGACCGAATGGCGGATGGACGCTTGCGAAAGAGCGGAGGGTTTCGTTTTCGTCCGCGCAGGAGATGAAAATCGGCAACGGGCAGTTCGGAAAGGGCGGGAAAGTGACGTACCATGGCGGCCCGGTGATGGCCAGGTCGCCGATTAAAGTGTACCTCATCTTCTACGGCGACTGGGACAAAACGACCGTGGACCTGTTTCACAAGTTCGTGAGCTCTATATCGGGGAAATACAAGACGCCCAAGGACCGTTACAATGTTACCAGGTGGTGGGGGCTCACGGCGGCCGGCACGCAGGCGGACGGAAAGCGCGTGAGCGCGACCGTGGCGCTGGGGAAGTCGGTGCTGGACCGGAACTACGTGTCGGGCGGCGGGAAGGTTCTGCGCAACTACCAGAAGGACGTCGTAGCCAGTAAGTCCTCTTTAGATGCTCGGTTCTCGGGTCGGTTCTGGCGCAGTCATCAACTACCACCTGCGCTGCGAGGTGCTGGTGTCTGTCGATGCGCGTCTCCCCCCACTCATTATTCCGCGTACCTCTTTCCTCACGCCTCTCGCCTCTCGCCTCCCTCCCCCTCTTTTCCGCCCCCTCCCTTCCGCCCCCTCCCTTCCGCCCCCTTCCTTCCGCCCCCTTCCTCCCGCCCCCTCCCTCCCATTCGCTCCCCCGCAGTCATCAACTACCACCTGCGCGCCAAGCTGTTGCCGTTCGACACGGACGGCATCTACATGGTGATGACGGATCCGACGGTGGAGGTGAAGAGCAGCGACCCCAGGGACGGCTTCTGCACGCGCTTCTGCGGGTACCACAGCTACGGCCAGGACGCGCTGGGGAAGGCCTTGAAGTTTGGATTCGCGGGGCACTCGGCTCGATGCCCCTCGCAGTGCACCCGGCCCCTTCCCTAGTGAGTGATTCGTAGTAGTGTACAAGTTATGTGGTTCTGCGGGTACCACAGCTACTGCCAGGACGTGCTGGGCAAGGCCCTCAAGTTCGCGAGGCACTCCGCTCGATGCCCTTCACAGTGCACCCGACCACTTCCCTAGTGAGTGATTCGTTAGCAAGGGTACCAGACAGTCACTCACTCCCCCATTCACTCAGTTCTAAGGGCAACCCTTGGATTAATAGGCGCACCAGATGGCTGGCATTGCTGTTACCGACCCCTCTGAAAGCATCAATTCCCACAGTCAGGGCGCCTTCCCATGCATGCTGTGGCGTGTGCTCCCTCCCATGCATGCTGTGGCGTGTGCTCCCTCCCATGGATGCTGTGGCGTGTGCTCCCTCACATGCATGCTGTGGGCTGTGCTCCCTCCCATGCATGCGGTGGGGTGTTGTTATTCCTAATGCACTAGAGATGGAAGAGGAGGCAGACACGTTACCTTCAAAGTGCTCCCCTCAGCTTTGTCTTTTCCTCTCTTCTTCCAACCCACGCCCCAACCCCTCACAGTGATACGTTCAATGGGGTCAATGTCGACGCCACCTTGTCCACATTCGCGCATGAAATAGCGGAGGTGGCCCAGGACCCACTGTTCACGGCATGGTATGACTACGATCAAGTGGAGGGAGCTGATAAATGCACGTATGTTTACGGGGATGGGTGGGTGAATCCCCGGAATTCAGCGGCTTATAACTTGATGGGAAGGAGGGGGTCGAGGTTTTTGATCCAGTCTATGTGGAGCCTTGATAAGCAGATGTGTGTACAATAGGATGGCATACTTCATTTACACAGCAGGGTATTGGTGCTTCATCTATACAGGACTTCGCATTTATTATGCGTTGTTTTGACTTGCTCCTATTGATAATAATACGCGAAAGGCTACACCAAGCAATATATATGTGGATCATTTGTTCTAGGTCAGAGGGCTACTTCATGGCATAGGATCCACAAGTAATGATAAGGCTAAAGCTCATGTGATCCGTCTTTAGGTCTCACCGAGTCTGCTAACAGACGGAGCCTTTCCTTCCCTCGTCAGCACCATCTGACACTGATGTCAGAACCAGTCAGCTCCACGTCAGGCAACAGCTGCTACTCCTTGCCCATCAAGGCCTCGGGAACATCGTAAAATTCGACGGTTACCAGAACAAATAGAATTCTAGGCGCCTCGACCGAAGGCCAGCAACAGCAAACCGAAGCCTCGTTCCTAACGGAAGTCGGAGATTTCGCGGAATTGCGCGTTGAGTGTCCATTCTCATAGGCAGTGAATCAGTGAGAGGTTCAGCAGGCATTCGAACTGCAGGCTCTGCTGCCAAGAGAGCAGTTTAGTTCCGCGCTTCACTACCGCAGTCATTGCTGACTGCGATTGGTCGTTTACCAGCTGACTGCGCCCTTTAGCGATTGCCTTGGAGTGATTTAGGTCGCTCTAGGTCGAACCGCCTTTTTCCGCTTCGACAAAGTCAGGATTCGCTTCCTTGTACCGCCAGTCAGAAGCCGCCATGTCAGCACCGTCGCTCGCCTCGTTCGTCCCCGTGCCTCCGGGCAGCCACTTCCCGATCCAGAACCTCCCGTTCGGCGTGTTTCGATCCTCGCCGGGAGGCTCGGCGCGAGTGGGCGTGGCAATCGGCGAGCAGGTTCTAGACCTGTCAGTCGTGGCGGACGCGGGTCTGCTGGGGGATGTGGGCGACGTAGTTAAAGACACGGGATGCTTCCACCAGGTACTAGGGTGGGAGAGTTTTGAACCCGGGCGCCTAAAGACACGGGCTGCTTCCACCCCGTCAGTCGACTGAGAGGGTCTTAGCGTGGGCGTGAGTTGAAGCATGAGGCGCGCCTAAGATCACGGCCTGCTGCACGGCTGGTTGGCCTCCCTTGAAAGCTTCCTCCTCCTCATTTCCCCCCCCCTTCCAAAAGCCCCCCTTCCTACCAACCCCCCACCTCCCCTTCTTCCTCCCCCTTCCCACCCCCTCTCCTCTCCCTATGTCCCACCGCAAGCCTCCCGCAATGCTTTCATGTCGCTGGGTCGCCCCGCGTGGCAACGCACCAGAGCTGCTCTCCACCCTCCATGCACCTCCCTTCCTCCCTACCCACCCCCTCTCCCTCCCCCTCCCCCTCTCCCTCTCCCTCTCCCTCCCCCTCTCCCTCTCCCTCTCCCTCTCCCTCCCCCTCTCCCTCTCCCTCTCCCTCCCCCTCTCCCTCTCCCTCCACCTCCCCCTCTCCCTCCCCCTCCCCCTCCCCCTCTCCCTCCCCCTCCCCCTCTCCCTCCCCCTCCCCCTCTCCCTCCCCCTCCCCCTCTCCCTCCCCCTCCCCTCCCCCTCTCCCCCGCCTCTCCCGTGCCCCACCTCAGTCGTCCCTCAACACCTTCATGGCGCTGGGTCGCCCCGTGTGGCAACGCACCAGAGCTGCTCTCCAACGCCTGCTCTCTGGTGAAACCTCCTGACCAACCACCTGATGAAATACCTTACCGATTTACCTGGTGCTCGCAATCGTCCCCAGGTGCTCTCTGATGCAACCACCTGACAAAAAACCTGATAAACTAGTGCCATGCTGCCATGTCTTCGAGTGGGAGTCACACCACTGTGCGTGCTTCAGGCGCTTCGCTCTGACAACTCTCCCCCCTCTAGTTTTGCGGCGCCTCAAAACTAGACTTCGCACTGACAACTCTCCCCTCTCTTCCCTCTCTCCTTCCACCACCCTTCTCCCTTTGCCCGTTCATCTCATCGAATGCTGACGTCAGCGGACGAGCCAACACTGAGAGACAACAAGGCACTGCGCACCAATGCCCTGCACCATCAGGTGAGATGTCAGGTGCCCTGCACCATCAGGTGAGATGTCAGGTGCCCTGCACCATCAGGTGAGATGTCAGGTGCCCTGCACCATCAGGTGAGTTGTCAGGTGCCGTTCACCATCAGACCTACACAGCCTTACCAAGCATCCAAGCACCAAGCCCAAACTGTGGGCCAAATGCTTTCGATCCCCACTATGCCTCCCTGCCTCCCTGCCTGCCTGCCTGCCTGCCTGCCTGGCTGCGTGCCTGGCTGCCTGCCTGGCTGGCTGGCTGCCTGGCTGGATGGATGGATGGATGGATGGATGCCCTAGCAATGATTGGCAATCACACGAATTGCTGTGTGTGCAAGCTAAACCTGCGCCACCCATGAGGGCCGTGTTGACATTGACGCCTGGACTCGCCTACGCCTCCCCTGCCTGCCCCCTTCCCTCTCCCCCAGGCCCATGTGCGCATGGAGTTGGCCTGCAGTGAGCGGCATCAGCGCACCATGCCACCAACGTGGGCCGGCTGTTTTGCGACTGGCGCCTAAGCTCCCTCCATGCCTCTACCGCGCGCCCCCCTTCCCTCCCCGCCAGTCCCATGTGTTAATGGAGCTGCCAGCAGTGATCGGCGACTACACTGACTTCTATGCGTCGAAGCACCATGCCACCAACGTGGGGCGGCTGTTCCGAGGCAAGGGCAACGAGCTGCCGGCGCAGTGGTGAGGGGAAGGTGCAGGGAGGCGAGGAGGGGATGAGAGGAGCGGGTGAGAGGAGGGGGTGAGAGGAGCGGGTGAGAGGAGGGGGTGAGAGGAGGGGGTGTGGGAAGGGGCGAGAGGGGGGGGGTGTGGAAACTTGTCCTAGTTGTCTTTTCTTATTGTGGACTGGTGTTGGATGCCAACTCAACCACCCACTCGCACCCTCTCTCTGCCCACATGCCTGCGGGTGTCTGCCACCCTCTTTTGTGCATGGTATGACATGGAATGGCGTTGGATTTTCTGGCATGGCATGGCATGGCATGGCATGGCGTGGCATGGCATGGCGTGACGTGGTATGGCATGGCGTGACGTGGCACGGCATGGCGTGGCATGGCAGGTTGTACATGCCCATAGCATACCACGGCAGGTCGTCGTCTGTTGTGGTCTCCGGCACTCCCATCGAGCGGCCCAGGTGAAAACCACGGCGGCTCAGGAGAAACGAACGGTAGTCAGGTGAATGAAACAGCAGCAGGCAGGTCAGGTGGTATGTACAACAGCTATCATGCGCCTCATAGGCTGAGCACAGGCTGCTGGTCCAATCAGAACGCCTCTTTCCACCAGCCCCTTTCCACCAGCCCCTTTCCACCAGTCCCTTTCCACCAGTCCCTTTCCACCAGCCCCTTTCCACCAGTCCCTTTCCACCAGTCCCTTTCCACCAGCCCCTTTCCACCAGCCCCTTTCCACCAGTCCCTTTCCACCAGCCCCTTTCCACCAGTCCCTTTCCACCAGCCCCTTTCCACCAGTCCCTTTCCACCAGCCCCTTTCCACCAGCCCCTTTCCACCAGCCCCTTTCCACCAGCCCCTTTCCACCAGTCCCTTTCCACCAGTCCCTTTCCACCAGTCCCTTTCCACCAGTCCCTTTCCACCAGTCCCCTTTCCACCAGCCCTTTCCACCAGCCCCTTTCCACCAGCCCCTTTCCACCAGCCCCTTTCCACCAGCCCCTTTCCACCAGCCCCTTTCCACCAGCCCCTTTCCACCAGCCCCTTTCCACCAGCCCTTTCCACCAGCCCCTTTCCACCAGCCCCTTTCCACCAGCCCCTTTCCACCAGCCCCTTTCCACCAGCCCCTTTCCACCAGCCCCTTTCCACCAGTCCCTTTCCACCAGCCCCTTTCCACCAGTCCCTTTCCACCAGCCCCTTTCCACCAGCCCCTTTCCACCAGCCCCTTTCCACCAGCCCCTTTCCACCAGCCCCTTTCCACCAGCCCCTTTCCACCAGCCCTTTCCACCAGCCCCTTTCCACCAGCCCCTTTCCACCAGTCCCTTTCCACCAGCCCCTTTCCACCAGTCCCTTTCCACCAGCCCCTTTCCACCCTTTCCACCAGTCCCTTTCCACCAGTCCCTTTCCACCAGCCCCTTTCCACCAGCCCCTTTCCACCAGCCCCTTTCCACCAGTCCCTTTCCACCAGTCCCTTTCCACCAGTCCCTTTCCACCAGCCCCTTTCCACCAGCCCCTTTCCACCAGTCCCTTTCCACCAGCCCCTTTCCACCAGTCCCTTTCCACCAGCCCCTTTCCACCAGCCCTTTCCACCAGTCCCTTTCCACCAGCCCCTTTCCACCAGTCCCTTTCCACCAGCCCCTTTCCACCAGCCCCTTTCCACCAGTCCCTTTCCACCAGCCCCTTTCCACCAGCCCTTTCCACCAGCCCCTTTCCACCAGCCCCTTTCCACCAGCCCCTTTCCACCAGCCCCTTTCCACCAGCCCCTTTCCACCAGCCCCTTTCCACCAGCCCTTTCCACCAGCCCCCCCCCCCCCCCCGCCCCTTTCCACCAGCCCCTTTCCACCAGCCCCTTTCCACCAGCCCCTTTCCACCAGCCCCTTTCCACCAGCCCCTTTCCACCAGCCCCTTTCCACCAGCCCCTTTCCACCAGCCCCTTTCCACCAGCCCCTTTCCACCAGCCCCTTTCCACCAGCCCTTTCCACCAGCCCCTTTCCACCAGTCCCTTTCCACCAGCCCCTTTCCACCAGCCCCTTTCCACCAGCCCTTTCCACCAGCCCCTTTCCACCAGTCCCTTTCCACCAGCCCCTTTCCACCAGCCCCTTTCCACCAGCCCCTTTCCACCAGCCCTTTCCACCAGCCCTTTCCACCAGTCCCTTTCCACCAGTCCCTTTCCACCAGCCCCTTTCCACCAGTCCCTTTCCACCAGTCCCTTTCCACCAGCCCCTTTCCACCAGCCCCTTTCCACCAGCCCCTTTCCACCAGCCCCTTTCCACCAGTCCCTTTCCACCAGCCCTTTCCACCAGCCCCTTTCCACCAGCCCTTTCCACCAGCCCCTTTCCACCAGTCCCTTTCCACCAGCCCCTTTCCACCAGTCCCTTTCCACCAGCCCCTTTCCACCAGTCCCTTTCCACCAGCCCCTTTCCACCAGCCCCTTTCCACCAGTCCCTTTCCACCAGTCCCTTTCCACCAGCCCCTTTCCACCAGTCCCTTTCCACCAGCCCCTTTCCACCAGTCCCTTTCCACCAGCCCCTTTCCACCAGTCCCTTTCCACCAGCCCCTTTCCACCAGCCCCTTTCCACCAGTCCCTTTCCACCAGTCCCTTTCCACCGGTCCCTTTCCGCCAGTCCCTTTCCACCGGCCCCTTTCCAGGACGCAATCCCTGCTTGCGCCGCCCTCTCTTCCATTCAACCGATTCCCTCCTACCCATCTCCCTCCCGCCCCTCTGTCTCTGCCTTTCTCGGTCTCCTCACCCGTCCCACGACCCACCCTGACTGCAGAGGCCAGCTCGGACTGCCGCCCTCATCCCCCTCCTCCTCCTTCGCTTCCCTCTCCCCTCTTTTTGGCCCGAGCCAGCAGCTAGACTTTGAGCTCGAGATGGTGAGATGTGGAGGGGCAGGCAGGGGGGGGGAGGGTTCGGGTGCGAAGGAGGGAAGGGAAAGATGGGAGGGATGTCGTGGAAAGGGAGACGTGGCAGGGCGAGGGGCAGTGCGAGGATGTGCGAGGGCTTTGTACGGACTGAGAGCCTGACCACTGAACAATCCGTGTGTAATGAGTCGATTTTTGAGGCGCCTCAAAACGATTTTTGCGTCGACTCATTGCACGAGGGCTCTGTATGGACTGAGAGACTGAACACTGCGAGGATGTGCCAACCCCCTGCCTCTGCTCTCTCACTCTCTCACTCCCTCCACATCTCTCTCCTCCACTCCTCCCCTCCCCCCCCCCCGCCCCCATCTTCATTCCTTTAAACTCCGCTCCCCATCTCCCATCTCCCATCTCCCATCTCCCATCTCCCATCTCCCATCTCCCATCTCCCATCTCCCATCTCCCATCTCCCATCTCCCATCTCCCATCTCCCATCTCCCATCTCCCATCTCCCATCTCGCCCATGCATGCCCTCACTCGTCTGCCAATGTACCCCCCTCCGCGCGCACGACTCAGGCAGTGTTGATAGGCCCGGGCAACGAGCGGGGTGAGAGCATCCCCGTGGAGAGGGCGCTGGACTGCTGCTTTGGCATGGTGCTCTGCAACGACTGGAGCGGTGAGGCGAACTGACTGGAGCGGTGAGGCGAACTGACTGGAGGGGTGAGATGAACCTTGAGCTGAGGGCGCCCTGCCCCTCCCCCCATGTTGCTAGCGTGTGTTTCTTGGTTACAAGAAGGAGATGCGGGAGGGCAATTCGGTGGAGAGGAGGGAGAGGGCGCTAGACTGCTGCTTTGGCAAGGTGCTCTGCAACGACTGGAGCGGTGAAGTGAAGCTCTAGGCATTCCTCCGGCATCTCTTTGCTTTGACTGGACTGGGGTGGGGAACATGTCTTTCCAAGCTTGCCTATTGCGCCCCCACCTCTCTTCTCAGGCTCCACATCCCCTCACGCACTTCCTGCTCATGTTGCCACGCACTTCCTGCTCATGTTGCCACGCACTTCCTGCTCATGTTGCCACGCACTTCCTGCTCATGTTGCCACGCACTTCCTGCTCACGTTGCCACCCACTTCCTGCTCATGTTGCCACGCACTTCCTGCTCTTGTTGCCACGCACTTCCCGCTCACGTTGCTGCCTGTCGCTCCTCCTTTCACCTGCAGCCAAGAACATCCAACAGTGGGAGAATGTCCCGCTCGAGGAGTCGTTTTTTGAGGCGCCTCAAAAGCAGATACCCCCCGCTTCTCCCTTCCTCCTTTCCCTTCCCTCTCCCCCCCTTCCATGCACCCCCATCCCTCTCCCCCCTTCCATGCACCCCCCATCCCTCTCCCCCCCTTCCATGCACCCCCCATCCCTCGTCCCCCTTCCAGCCAGGGACATCCAGCGGTGGGAGTACGTTCCGCTCGGCCCCTTTCTCGGGAAGAACTTTGGTCAGTGGGGGGATGAGTGGGGAGACGCTTGGGGGGTGCGTGGGGGGAGCGTGGGGGGAGCGTGGGGGGATGCGTGGGGGAGCGTGGGGGGATGCGTGGGGGGGAGCGTGGGGGGATGCGTGGGGGGAGCGTGGGGGGGAGCGTGGGGGGATGCGTGGGGGGAGCGTGGGGGGATGCGTGGGGGGAGCGTGGGGGGAGCGTGGGGGATGCGTGGGGGGGAGCGTGGGGGGATGCGTGGGGGAGCGTGGGGGGGAGCGTGGGGGGATGCGTGGGGGATGTTTGGTCCGTGGCGCCTCGAACGATAATGGCCAGTGCATTTGATTTCAGTGCTATGGTGTAGTGTGGTCCATGTGCTTTCCACTAGTGCATCTGTACTTGCACTTCCCACTGCCCATATAGTAGTGCCCACTGCCCACTGCCCACTGCCCTGGGTAATGACCATCCTCCCCATGTGCCCGCACTGCAGCCACGACCAATTCGCCCCAGGTAATCACTTTGTCCGTGAGCCCTTTGTGTGCGCTTCATGGGAAAGCGAGTCTGTTTCGAGACGTCTCAAAACAAGCAAGCATACCTGACTTTCCCTCTTGCTCGCATTGCTGCAGCCACCACCATCTCCCCCTGGGTCGTCACTATGGACGCCTTGCAGCCGTGCGTCTGCTCCCCACCCCCTCAGGTGACTTCAGCCGTGCGTCTGGCGACTCAAAAGTCATCAGGTGCTCCCCACCCCATCAGGTGCTCCCCACCCCATCAGGTGCTCCCCACCCCATCAGGTGCTCCCACCCCCTCAGGTGCTCCCCACCCCCTCAGGTGCTCCCCTCTTAGCTCTCGTCCTCTTCCTCTCCCCAGTCGCGTCCTCTCTTCTTTCTCCGCTCATTCCTCTCCCCAGTCGCTTCCTCTCGTTTCTCTCCGCCCTCTTCTCTCAAACCCCAACTCAATGGTGCTTCCAGTGTTCACCCCAACTTAATCGTGCTTCCCATCACTTCGGTCGGCCCCAGTCATTGCGTACCTTCTTATGTGTACCTTGTTATGTGTGCCTTGTTATGTGTGCCTTGTTATGTGTGCCTTCCCGTCCCCCCCTCCCTGCCCTCAATCCTCCCAGCAGGACCCCGTTCCGCGGCCCTACCCGAGGGACCCCAGGCCAAGGGGTGGTGAAGTATCCCATGGACTTAGTGTGTATTCCGACCATCCCTGCCCTCTCCCCTCCCAGCAGGATCCCGTTCTGCTGCTGATCGGAGGGACCCCAGTCCAAGGGGCAGTGAACTCTTCCCCTTTCGTGCATGGATTCCTCCCCTTCCCTGCCCTCTCCCCTCCCAGCAGGACCCCGTTCCGCTGCCGTACCTGAGGGACCCCAGTCCTCGCACCTTTGACATTCGCCTGCAGGCAAGCAATCTAGAGGGAGATGCACGCTCATGCGCAGGGAACTCGTTGGCCTCTATGCCGCCTCTGTGCACTAGGCTCAAAGCACGCCAACACAAGGCATGCACGGGCTAGTGATGAGTCCCAAGGGGTGCTTGCCTGGGGTGGCGTGCAGTGACTCAGCGAGCGCCTCTAGGCACACCTGTCTTCCTTGTGCCTCAGCTGCTCACTCCTGTCTTCCTTGTGCCTCAGCTGCTCGTCTTTGACAACGGACACTCTCGCGCTCCTTCACAAGCGCCAAGGCACAAGCGCCTTCTTCGCTCTGCCTCCATCCGAGCATCCCTCCCTCTTCCCTCCCTCCCTCCCTCTGTTCGTTCCACCCTGCCTCCTCTTTCCTCTTCCACGCAGGTATTCATTGCTCCCTCTGCCCCTGCGTCTGCAGCATCGGTCCCAGCAGCAGAAACACCAACCACCGCACCACCCAACCCTCCTGTCCTCCCCCCGCCCACCCCTCCGTGCCCGCACGCCCTGCTGTCCCCTGACGCCGTTGACTCCTCCCCCCCTGCCTCTGGTGAGGCGTCGCTCTCTCACAGACTGCCGCCTGTCCCTGTGTGCAGCAGCAACTTCAACCACCTGTGGGTAACTGGTGGGCATGGGTGCATGCATGTGTGCATGTATGGGGCGTGCATGGGTGCATGTATGGGGGCATGCATGTGTGCATGTATGGGTGCATGTATGGGTGCATGCATGTGTGCATGTATGGGTGCATGTATGGCTGCATGCATGGGTGCATGTATGGGGGCATGCATGTGTGCATGTATGGGTGCATGTATGGGTGCATGCATGTGTGCATGTATGGGGGCATGCATGTGTGCATGTATGGGTGCATGTATGGGTGCATGCATGTGTGCATGTATGGGTGCATGTATGGCTGCATGCATGTGTGCATGTCTGGGTGCATGTATGGTTGCATGCATGTGTGCATGTATGGGTGCATGCATGTGTGCATGTATGGGTGCATGTATGGGTGCATGCATGTGTGCATGTATGGGGGCATGCATGTGTGCATGTATGGGTGCATGTATGGGTGCATGCATGTGTGCATGTATGGGTGCATGTATGGCTGCATGCATGTGTGCATGTCTGGGTGCATGTATGGTTGCATGCATGTGTGCATGTATGGGTGCATGCATGTGTGCATGTATGGGTGCATGTATGGGTGCATGTATGGGTGCATGCATGTCTGCATGTATGGGTGGATGTATGTGTGCGTTTATGGGTGCATGTATGGGTGCATGCATGTCTGCATGTATGGGTGCATGCATGTCTGCATGTATGGGTGCATGTATGTTTGCATGCATGTCTGCATGTATGGGTGCATGTATGGGTGCATGCATGTCTGCATGTATGGGTGCATGCATGTGTGCATGTATGGGTGCATGTATGGGTGCATGCATGTCTGCATGTATGGGTGCATGTATGGGTGCATGTATGGGTGCATGTATGGGTGCATGCATGTCTGCATGTATGGGTGCATGCATGTGTGCATGTATGGGTGCATGCACGAGTTCAGGCAAGGGAGCGTGCGAGAATTTGTCCCCCCTCCTCTCCACACTCTTCATGATACACCCCCCATCACCCCCTATCACCCCCCATCACCCCCTATCACCCCCTATCACCCCCTATCAGCCCCTATCACCCCCCATCACCCCCATCACCCCCTATCACCCCCTATCACCCCCTATCACCCCCTATCACCCCTATCACCCCCCATCACCCCCTATCACCCCCTTTCACCCCCACCCCCACCACTGCAGGTACTGGACGATATCCCAGCAGGTGGCGCACCACAGCATCAATGGCTGCCCCTTGAGACCCGGGGACCTGCTGGCGTCAGGCACCATCTCAGGCCCGGTAAGAGGTTCCGCACCATCTCGGGCCTGGTAAGAGGTTCGGCACCATCTCGGGCCTGGTAAGAGGTTCGGCACCATCTCGGGCCTGGTAAGAGGTTCGGCACTGTCTGAGGCCCGATAAAAAGGTTGGCACCATCTGAGGCCCACCATCTCAGGCCTGGTGCGTCACTCTCTGCTTCCTGCTCCTGCTACCTCCTGCCAATTCTTGCCCTTATCAGTCTCGTTGCCTGCCAGTTCCCGGGGCCCGTTTCTTCAAACTGCTGAGAATGAGCTCCTGTGGTCCTTGAACCTAGTCAATATCTTTCATCTGACACTCACCACCTGTTTCCCCGCCCCGTTTCCCCCATGCGCCACCCGCCAATCCCCTGTGTGCCCTCCTTGTATCTTGAACCAGTCAGAGGGCAGTGAGGGGTGCATGCTAGAGCGCACACAGGGCGGCAGGCTGACCCTGGAGCTCTCCCCCGACGGATGTAGGGTATCTGACGGCTCTTCCCAAGCCTCCGACCGAGCCTCAGGCTCGGGAGCCATGCGCCGAACATACTTGGAGGATGGGGATGAGGTTATCATGACGGCAAGCTGCCAGGTTGGTCACAATCCCGGACTCGTGTCGCGGCCTGTTTATGCTTGTGTTGTTTGTGTCCATCACGCGCTCTCCACTAATGCTGCTCTGCTCCCCTTCCCAACCCTCGTCGCCGTTCCTTCTCTTTCTTCCCTCCCTCGTTCGTGCCCCTCTCCCTTCCCCTCAGTTGCCCTGTGGTGTGACGATTGGCTTTGGAGATTGCAGAGGTGTAGTGCTTCCTTCAGGTCATTCCACCACGCCTGGTAGCTCGAAACAAGATGGAGTGGCCGTACAGACCCCTCGGGATGCCTCAGCACCGTAGTACACCGAGTTATGTTTCCAAAAAGTGAGGTCGATGGTCGTGCCAGTTTCACTGACATACGATGCCAGTTTCACTGACATACGATGCATGTATGGGTGCATGCATGTCTGCATGTATGGGTGCATGCATGTGTGCATGTATGGGTGCATGCACGAGTTCAGGCAAGGGAGCGTGCGAGAATTTGTCCCCCCTCCTCTCCACACTCTTCATGATACACCCCCCATCACCCCCTATCACCCCCCATCACCCCCTATCACCCCCTATCACCCCCTATCAGCCCCTATCACCCCCCATCACCCCCCATCACCCCCTATCACCCCCTATCACCCCCTATCACCCCCTATCACCCCTATCACCCCCCATCACCCCCTATCACCCCCTTTCACCCCCACCCCCACCACTGCAGGTACTGGACGATATCCCAGCAGGTGGCGCACCACAGCATCAATGGCTGCCCCTTGAGACCCGGGGACCTGCTGGCGTCAGGCACCATCTCAGGCCCGGTAAGAGGTTCCGCACCATCTCGGGCCTGGTAAGAGGTTCGGCACCATCTCGGGCCTGGTAAGAGGTTCGGCACCATCTCGGGCCTGGTAAGAGGTTCGGCACTGTCTGAGGCCCGATAAAAAGGTTGGCACCATCTGAGGCCCACCATCTCAGGCCTGGTGCGTCACTCTCTGCTTCCTGCTCCTGCTACCTCCTGCCAATTCTTGCCCTTATCAGTCTCGTTGCCTGCCAGTTCCCGGGGCCCGTTTCTTCAAACTGCTGAGAATGAGCTCCTGTGGTCCTTGAACCTAGTCAATATCTTTCATCTGACACTCACCACCTGTTTCCCCGCCCCGTTTCCCCCATGCGCCACCCGCCAATCCCCTGTGTGCCCTCCTTGTATCTTGAACCAGTCAGAGGGCAGTGAGGGGTGCATGCTAGAGCGCACACAGGGCGGCAGGCTGACCCTGGAGCTCTCCCCCGACGGATGTAGGGTATCTGACGGCTCTTCCCAAGCCTCCGACCGAGCCTCAGGCTCGGGAGCCATGCGCCGAACATACTTGGAGGATGGGGATGAGGTTATCATGACGGCAAGCTGCCAGGTTGGTCACAATCCCGGACTCGTGTCGCGGCCTGTTTATGCTTGTGTTGTTTGTGTCCATCACGCGCTCTCCACTAATGCTGCTCTGCTCCCCTTCCCAACCCTCGTCGCCGTTCCTTCTCTTTCTTCCCTCCCTCGTTCGTGCCCCTCTCCCTTCCCCTCAGTTGCCCTGTGGTGTGACGATTGGCTTTGGAGATTGCAGAGGTGTAGTGCTTCCTTCAGGTCATTCCACCACGCCTGGTAGCTCGAAACAAGATGGAGTGGCCGTACAGACCCCTCGGGATGCCTCAGCACCGTAGTACACCGAGTTATGTTTCCAAAAAGTGAGGTCGATGGTCGTGCCAGTTTCACTGACATACGATGCTACGATAAAGAAGCATCATGTATGTTGGAGGTTGGTGAGGCATGCGCAACAGTGGTACCGGTATGCTAGCGAATCCAGTTTAATCAATTGTGGAATGTTTACTACGTGAAATTTGCGATAAGTTCCGTCATGCTCTAATATCGTATGTTTTTGTTTCCCACAAGAAGCATAGCCTTTTTATCAAGGTGGTCGATGGTTTTATTTGTCATGCTATGAGATGATCAGGTGGTTGCGGAGGTGTATATGAGCACTAATAAAGACGGTGAACCCACTAACGAAACATCTAAGGCAGGACAAGCAAGGCAGTTGAAAAACGGGCCGAGACTCACAGAAGCTGAAGCGACGCTGGCATGGGAAACTCTTTTCTACGTGGCACGTTTCGATTGCCTGATCCTTACCCGTTTCGCTTGACCGCCCTCAGTCATCCCCCCCACAACTCGCAGACATGGCTGACCGAGAACAGAATTTTGCGGCATCCCTCCTTCGGCTGACCGCTATGGGACCAACAACAGCACGCATTCCGAGCCGCATATCACGCGACTCGATCCAGCAGCCTCAGTGCAGTGTGTACGAATGTTACTGTCCTCCCGTTTCCAGCAATCTCCCAAATTCAACACTGCCACCGCCCCTCCTTCCCCTCGAGTCCTCACTTAGTCCCCTCGGCTCGAGCCTCCCTTCCCTAGCCCCAAAATGAACCATAGTCGGCGTCTTCACCCACTCACCCACTCATACCGCCCACGGTTACTTCTGTTGCTCCCGCCATAATCCTCCTCCCTCAATCACCTTCCCTTCTTCCTTACCTGCCCTCACCCTTGGCAATTTAGGGACCAGTTCCTTGCTCCCCGCTCGTTCCCCCCTCGGACGTCGCTGATTCGCCCTCATTACCTGCTACGATGCCCTCTCATCCAATCCTCTGCGCGCTCTTTCACATCCAATCAACGGCGAGGTCCATCCTGGAATAACGGGGAGCAGCACCCGCTGTAGGTACATTTCTGGCGCTATTTGGCCGCCCAAGAGCAACATGCCTTGACGCCCCCTGTCGCTTCCTAGTTTTCTCGCCCACTCACTGCTGACAGTACGGCTACGAAACGGAAGCCATAATACAGCACATCCAAGTTATGCTTGCGGACAAGCTCCGGTCAGGATTCTGTCCGCAGAATGCTGCGCACGGGGGCAGAAAGAGCGGGCTACAGCTCCTCCTTCCTTGCTACTGTACCGCACCGTTCCAAAAAGGTCGGCGCGTGGAAGCTTTTGGAAGCTTTCGGGCCTTGCCTTTCCGCGCCGGGGGATCTGTGCAGCGAACTTTGAGTCGACTCAAAGGTCACGCTGGGTTCCTCCTCTGATCCGATAGCGGCATTCACTTGGCACAGTGTGCATCGCACCATGTGCAGCAGGCTGGAAGGAGCGACCTGCACTCGCCTCGCCGCTGCTTATGATCCCGATTGCTGCCTGCCTGCCTGCCTGCCTGCCTGCCTGCCTGCCTGCCTGCCTGCCGCGCCTTCCAGAACCTCCCGGGTTTCGTTCCGCCGGGCTCTGCTCCGCGAAACCATAGACGCAGCATGCACTGAATCCTGCCAGCGCTGCGCATGCAGCGCACCAGCCTCGTTTCACGTGCAACGCCCGCGCCGAAACACCTCCTCCGCTCCACGTCAGAAATAAGAGACTAGCGGAACCCTGTGATATTCCCCCGCCCTCTATACTGTACCCCCCTTCCCCCCCATCCCCCCCCCCTTCCCCCGTTTCCTCCCCCATCAAACCTCCCTCCCCTCCCCGCCTCCCCCTCTCATCCATCACCTCCCTCCCTCCATTCCCCCAGCTCTCCCACTCATTCCCGGTTACCGACTGAGGCTCATGATGGATTTGCAAGGGAGCCCATGTGGACAGGATTCAGGGAAAGGGAGGCGCAGGTGTGTGAAGGAAGGGACTGGAGGGGGGAGGGCGACGATGATGAGAACGGGAGCGAGAGGGAGAAGAAAATAGAGCACACTAGACATGGGTCGTTTAACTTATGCACCAGTCGTGCACGCGCGAGTAAGTACTAATATCCTCCAATCGCGGCGCTGCATCCCTCCGATCCAGTCAGAGCGAGCAATTAGCAGGCTTCCGTGCTCGTCGTATACGGTAGCCCCGACCTCCGCGCCTGGACGAGCCACTCGTCCCAGCGCTGACTCAACCCTGGTCCCCGGGTGAGGATCAGGCTTTCAGGAGTACAGTACAGTACTACAGCGCCCAGGCGCGGCAGTACTGTAAACCCTTCGTTCGTCGTTCTGTAGTACGAGGGATGTACGTCCTTATTACCGCTACTCGGACGAATACAGATTACTATCTGCCAAGGAGACACACTGCAGCAATCACCAAGTGCGGCGGCGACTACAGAAGATTTTTTCCTTTCACTGTGCAAAAAGGACGATATAATATCGACATTGTCTCGATATTGCGCTCCCACAGGTCGCTTTTGTCAGCAGCACTACCCGTTCCAGCTCTCCTGACAGACGGCATCACCGACCGGCACCCGCTCGCCTTTCTCGCTGCTTCCGAACCAGCTGGGCTGGTTCGGACGATGCCCGTCCGCTCCACAGTGCCGAGGCTGGCAGCCCGTGCCGAGGCTAAGGCAGTTAATGATCATCGCTTAAGGGTGTTGACTCTTGACGTATTCAAATCCAATCTGGGCTCTTAGAAAAGCAGTAGTGTGATATGATCGACCCCAGCTAGCCGGCACGGCCAAGGTTCAGCGGCATGGTTTCTCTGGCCCGTGGATGTAGATTGTAGCGCCTGAGGGAAGAGATTCCTTGCTCGTCCGCAGAAGCCGGGCTGTAGTTTTTACCCACTGCCAGCCACGGAGTCATGGGCTCACGGACGGACGGACGGACGGGCGGACGGACTGCGAGCCACACGATTCCGATTCCTTGGAATGCCGCTTGAGTGCGCTACGAGTGTACGGTCGGGCCGTGCACTGCGCCCGTCACAGTGAGTGCGCGCGCACGGCGGGCGCGCGACACGGTGAAGCGGAGTCCGTCCCGGGCGCGCTCAGGCGGGCCCGGCGCTCGGCGGACACAAAAATGTGGATCTCTCCTATAGGTATAGTTGTTCGTATAGCAAGGCTACTCCGTAGCAGACATACCTATTCCGTACCTACTGTATACCTACTCCGTATTTCTGATCCTGGTATTTAGAGTCGGACTCTCACTTCGTTTCCTCAGAAAAGGCTTCGCCGCTCGGAGAGGCGTCGTCGTTGAGCGTGCGAGCATAACAACAGCCTCGATCACCCCGACTGTTTAGTGTTCACACCGCCATCAGGGCTAATGCAAGCTCCTTTCGGCCTCAATTCTCGCATCATCTCACCGAGTAGTACTAGCTATCCCCCATCCATGGGCGCCCGCGCATTTCGCTGCACGCCGTACATCATTCGCACGTAACTGACGGCCTGCTCGGTGTGCATTCGCGCGTCCAAGTCACGCAACTGACACCGTCGACCAGTTCGGCGATCCCAAGGCAGCACGCGCGATCGTTGCCACGAGCAGCACGGTCTTCGCTCCCAGCGGCCTCCTCTTCTCGATCCTCCGAGGACTCCTCGAGTCCAGCTTGTACTGCTACAGCGGGTCCTAGCCGCGCGCTCTCCGTCAGCTCCGTCGACGTCCTCCGTCAAGAGACGTCGGACGTCAGTCAGGGCGTCAGATCTCCGATGGAGAACGGCAGCAGCAGCATGCCAGTGCCCACGTCAATATCCATGCCCTTGACGATGCCGACGACGTCAATCATGCCCATGTCGGTGTCGATGTCGATGGAGGTGCTGCAGCGGGCCATGGCGGACGAGCACGAGCACTGGGACGCGGCGGACGACCCGCAGGGCACCATGAGCATGATGGCCATGCTGCTCGCCGGCAACGACTCGCTGCTCGCCGGCAATGACGGGCTGCTGGGCGGCACGACTGAGGGGCTTCTGGGCGGCACAAATGAGGGGCTTTTGGGCGGCAATAACGGGCTTTTGGGCGGCAATGACACCTTTCTGGGCGGCGCACACGGCGACATTATGCTGCTGGGTGGCCCACAAGCGAACGATCTCCTGGGCGGCACACTCGACAACGGCAGCTGTGCTGCGCGGACGGAATTCGGCGGTGGCTTTGCCGCCATGGGCGCGGGAAACCAAGCTGGCGCTTCTTTTGAGGCGGCTTATAAGGGAACTGAGTTTGTCGAGTACGACAATTTTTGTTTTGAGGCGCCTCAGAATGCCGCTACTACTGGGGGAGGCATGATATGCGGCGCACCAGACAAGAGCCAAGGACATCATCCAAGTCACCATGCCTCCGTGAGCGCCCATGGCTCGCTCATGCCCCATTATGACACCGCTTCTGCTTCTGCGCACGACACCGACTTTCTCACCTTTGATCATGGCCGTTCCAGCATTGCCCCGCCTCTCAGCCATCTCTGGGTGGACCAGCAGCAGCAGCAGCAGCAGCAGCAGCACCACCACCAACAACAACACCAGCAGCAGCAACACCAGCAGCAGCACCTGCTGCTGCAGCCCGAGCCTCAAGCGCAGGCTTGGCCGGACCTGAAGACACCCGCGGACCTGAAGCCCGAGCGCAGGGCGCTTGTGGTGCAGCCATGTGACTATAAGGGGGGCAAGGGGGCCGGCTACCAGGGCGCTCGGCTGCTGCAGATGCCGCCCGGTTTGCGCCTTCCGCCGCCCGTTGCTGCGCCTGCACCTGGCGCTACAACCGCTTCTGCTGGCGCTACAACCGCTGCTGCTGGTGCTACAAACGCTGCCTGTGCCACAAATGCTGAGGCGGATTCCGGTGTGGCCGCACCTGCACCGGCTGCGCCCAACGCACATGCTGCTGCACAGCAGTCGCCACCCAATGTGCACATGAGTGTGCACGTGCTGCCCCGGGCCAGCACGGCTCCGGCGAATACCGCCCCTCTGAGGAGAGCTGCAGCAGCAGCAGAGGCGATGGAGGGCGAATCATTTCCTGCCGATGCTGGCGCTGCTGCCGGGTGTTCCATGCTCAGAAGCCACAGCAGCAGCAGCACCTGCCGTCCTCTAGCAGTCTGGCTTGGTGAGGGCGCGTGGGAGGGTGCAAGGGAGGGCATGAAAGGCGTGGGGGAGGGAGACGAGGGGTCTGCTGCTCCTGGCTTTCTTCTGCAGGGTCCGGGGGAGCTCCAAGGAATAGACGCGGGTGTCAGTCCTGCTGCTGCTGTTGATGTTGCTGGTGGTGGTGGTGGTGCTGCTGCTATGGCTGCTGGTCTGCGCAAGAGTCGCAGCAGCAGCAGCAGCTTCAAGGCTCGTGTGGTGCGCACCAAGGGAAGAGGCGGAGGCAAGCGAGGAGGCGGCGGCATGAGCCGAAGCCGCAGCAGCCATGGGCTGCGCGCCGCCGCTGCTGCTGCTGCGGCTCCTGCTTCCGACTCTGCTGCAGCACCAGGCGAGCCAGAATCCGATCTCCCCGCCTTCCTGCGGGAGAACCAAGCGCTGGCCCAGGCGCTGCTGAACGCCGACCTCTGTTTCTCCCCCAACTCCGGCACTGCTGCTGCGGCTGACCCCGCCAGTGCTGGCACTGCTGCGTGCTCCTACGACGTCAGCGCCGGCATGAGCGGCGCAGCAGGTGGAGGAATGAGCAGCTGCAGCCTGGGCGGTACGGCCACGGGCGGCGAGACCAGCCTGGGCGGCACGAGCATGGGCGGCACGGCAACGGGCGGCGACAGCAGCGATCCCGAGGAGCCTGGGCTGGCGAAGGGCACGTGGTTACCAGAGGAGGACCGCGTGCTGATGCAGTACGTGGGGAGCTACGGCCCCAGGAACTGGGGCGCGCTAAGAGCCCGGGGGCTGCTGCGGCGGTCGGGGAAGAGCTGCCGCCTGCGATGGGTCAACCAGCTCAAGCCGGGCCTGCAGGTGAGCATCCCCTTCCTGTGGTTACCAGCTCTACGTCTTCCGGTTACTGGCAGAGCAGCAGGTAAGCAGCAGGTAAGCAGCAGGTAAGCAGCAGGTAAGCAGCAGGTAAGCAGCAGGTAAGCAGCAGGTAAGCAGCAGGTAAGCAGCAGGTAAGCATTCGGTGAGTGTGAGTGAGTGGGAGCAGCCAGGGGAGGACCGCGTGGTGATGCAGTATGCAGTATGTGAGCAGCTACGGGCCCCGCAACTGGGGTGCGCTGAGAGCCGGGGGATTGTTGAGACGGTCGGGGAAGAGGTGCCGGCTGCGATGGGTCAACCAGCTCAAGCCGGGCCTGCAGGTGGGAGCGGATGATTCGGATGGTTGCACAGATGGTGGTAACCCGGCTGAGTGCAGCTGCACCCAGGCCGGGGCCCGTGGTAACCAGCAGGCAGAAGAAATAAGAGCTGCCTCGCGTGTCACACTATGCTTATCCCCCGTCTCCTCACACCCTCCAACCCCCTCTTTATGACAGAGGTACGCCGGCAAGGGCTGCAAGCGGTTTACCGAGGCAGAAGCGAACGTGGTGCTCTCCCTGCAGCGCGTGATGGGCAACAAGTGGGCGCAGATCTCGCGGCACCTGCCCGGGCGCACGGACAACGACGTCAAGAATTTCTGGAACCTGCACCTCAAGAGGCAGGCCAGGCTCAGAGGCCGGGGAGGGGGGCTTAACCGCAACGGGGGTAACGGTGTTGGTGATGGTGGTAACCAGAATGGTGGTAACCAGAGCGGTGGTTACGAGGATCTACATCTGCAGCACGTGGCTTCCAGCAGTCTCCTGGAGGACTGGACCCAGATGGGTGTTAGCCTGGTGAATGATGATGGTGGGGACGGGGGCAGCAGCAGCACGAGCAGTGGCAGCAGAGGCAATGGGGACGATGAAACTCTTTGTGGGGCTGATGCCGCTCACAATGCTGCTGCTGCTGCTGGTGCTGGTGCTGCTGCTGCTGCTGCTGCTGCTGCTGCTGCTGCTGCTGCTGCTGCTGCTGCTGATGCAACAGCAGAAAGAGCAGAGGAGCCACGAGGCATGGCAGCGATGCGCGGGGCCGTGGGAGATGCTGCAAGGACGGAAGAGGTGGGGAATGCAGACAAGGGTGGCAGCACGGACACCGCAACCCCCCCACCTTCTACAGCTGCACCTGCAGCACCTGCAGCAGTAACAACCACCACCCCTCCAACAGCAGCAGAGACACGCCCCGTGCCTTCCTCTCTGCCCGTGCCGTCGTCCCTGCCCCCCCATATGCACGCACACGCCAAGCCGTTCCTCCCCCGCTCCCGCCCCTCCTCGTCCACCGGCCGGCCTCTCTCGTCCGGCAGCCGCCCGTCCTCGTCCTCCGGGCGGCAGTCAAAGCTGTCCTTGCACCAGAGGCGGCTGCAGCGGAACTCCTCTGGTGGTGGTGGTGGAAATGGCGGCGGCTGTGCAAGCTGTGCTGGTTGTGGCAATGGCAGTGGCAATGGCAGTGGTAATGGCAATGGCAATGGCGCTGCCAACTCTAGGGGTGATGGCGCTAGTGCTGCCGCTGCAGCGACTGCAGGAGCCCAAGCTGCTGCTGCTGCTGGTGCCGCTGCCTCTGCCGCCGCTGCCACATGCAGTGCTGGCGGTGCCTCTGCTGGCGGCGTGGCAGTGGGTGGAGGAGTGATGGGGTGTGGTGTGGGAGATGGGGAGGCGGCAGCTGGGAGAGGCGGCGAGGGGAGGGGCGGCGAGGAGAGGGGCGGCGAGGGGGACGTGGAAGCCATGGACGTGTCGGGCGCTGGCGCTGGCGCCAGCCTCTCTGCTCTCAAGATAGGTGCGCCTTAGATCCAATCACATGACCGGCCTTTCTGGCCTTCACTGTCGGCTGGTTGCGATCGCATGCATTCCCTGGCACTGCCATTCCGAGCGTCTTGTCTTGTCTGTTCACATCGTCACAGCTCATTCCCATCCGGCTCATTCCCATCCGGCTCATTCCCATCCGGCTCATTCCCATCCGGCTCATTCCCATCCGGCTCATTCCCATCCGGCTCATTCCCATCCGGCTCATTCCCATCCGGCTCATTCCCATCCGGCTCATTCCCATCCGGCTCATTCCCATCCGGCTCATTCCCATCCCCCCCCTTCCCCCCCATCTTGTCCCCCTCTCTGTCCTGCAGACTGCCCCTACAAGAGCGCCGCTGCAAATGCCACCACCCACCCTCAAGGCCTGATGAATCTGGACGACTGGATCAACTCGCCCACTGCCGCTCCCCCCCGCCGCACGCCCTGCTCCCCCTTCTACATCAACCTCTCCCCCTCCGCCCGCCGCCTCCGCTCCCCCGGCTCCCCCTCCCCCCGCTCCCTCTACCTCCGCTCCCCCTCCCCCCGCACCCTCCCCTCCCCCGCCACCGCTTCTCCCCCAGCCACGTGTCTCTCCCCACCCTCCTCACCACCCCTCGTCCCGCAACTCTCCCCTCTCCTCCTCCCCCTCCCCCCACACCAACCACTCGGGGTCGCAACCCTCCCCCCTCTCCTCCTCCTCCCCTCGCCCCCCCTCCCACCCCAACTCCCACTCCTCCCTTGGCAAGCAGCCAGGGCAAGGGGAGGGGGGCAGCAATGTGAGAAAGCAAGGGCAGGCGGGGCGAGAGGAGGGAATGATGCAAGGGGTGGAGGATGGGTGTGGAAGAATGCAAAGGCAGGAGGGTGATGGGGGGAGAACGCAAGCACTGGTGCCGGGTGAGGATCGGCAAAGATCCAACCTGGCTAATCACACGCTGCCACGTGGCAAGGGGCTGCTGCAGCTGCCCAGTCGCTGCAGGGAAGCTGGAGGGCAAGCCGTCCCACCAGCCCCTACCCTGGCGCCAGGTCAGGAGGAGATTCTGCCAGGTCAGCAACCTGAGCCCCTTCAGGTGGTTTGTCAGGTTCTCTATGAGCCAGCTGGCCAGCATACTGCCGAGCCAACGCACGAACCTGTTGCCGGACTTGTTGCCGCGTCTACCGCCGGGCCTATGAGCAGTTGCCAGCAGAATGGGGCGCAGGGTGTGGGGCGGAGCATGAGCATGGAGAGCAGTGTGAGCCGCGGACAGCACGGGAGGAAGGGCTCTGGTGCCCCTGCTGCTGCTCTCATACAAGCACCTCCGATACAAGACGTGCTGGTGCCTGCAGTGGGCCAGCAGAAACTCCAAGTGTACCAAGAGCATCAGCAGTACCATGAGCATCAGCATCATCATCATCATCATCATCAGCAGCAGCAGCAGCAGCAGGCATGGCAGCTCAAGGAGAAGCAGAGCAGCACGAGGCATGGCAGCACGGGAGGAGGGGGCATGCCTCCCATCCCCAAGCACCGCCGCCACCACAGCATAGGCGGCCCGCCACACGCGGCACATGGCAGTGCACTGGACAATGCAGACACATGCCGCAACGCCACTGCAGCAGCCCACGGCCCGAGCACAAGCGAGCACTCAAGCCCATGCCAGCGAACCACCACACCCCGGCGCACCAACACCGCAGCACAGCCGGCCACTTCCAGCCCGTGTGTGAGCGGTAGTGCTAGTGCAAGTGTGGGTGCAAATGCAAGTGCGAGCCTGAAGGCGAATGCAGGGCTGCATGGCATCCGGGTGTGGCACCTGGGTGCGCCTGCGGTTGGCCTCATGGCTCCCATCATCGACATCTCTGCCTCTGCTGCTGCTGCTGCGCATGGGGGTGTGGGGGCTGCTGGGGACTCGGTGATAGAGTACCACTGGGGAAGAGGTTTTATCAGAGCTGCTCCATAGGCCAAGGATGTTGGCAGTACAGGGAAGGACATAAACAGGAGCTTGCTACTCTTGTATTTCCTACTCGATGCCGTGTATGTTGGATGTATAAATATAAATATATGTCATGAACTGATTCCCTAGCTGTTGCTGCTGGTGACTAAACTGCAGTCTTGGGGAAGAAAGCCAAAAGAGTCGACTCCACTGGGGATCGAACCCAGAATCTCTGGTTCCGTAGACCAGCGCCTTATCCATTGGGCCATGGAGTCACGTACGCCGGAGAAAACAATAAGCAATTTTCCCATCAGTAACTTTCATAAATAATTTTCCACGGCTACATCAACTTCCTTCGCCACTGACTCCAGCAGCCATGGCGACCGTGCCCAACCACCGTCTGCTTCGTCCTCGCGCCGCATCGCCCGAGATCGACTGGGACAGGTCCGTTGACCCAACCATTTCCCCCCTTCTCACCAGTCCGCCCTGCTTCCGCCGTTTCAGCGACCCTCCCCCCCTCGTTTCGTCGCCCGTCGTGCGATCCAGATCTCGCGTGGCGTCTCACGTCATCTCCATTAGACGTCCCTCGCTACTAGCTCCCGTGTTGATTCTCCTCAAAGTACCTCTTGCGAGTCGATTTTCTCCTCCGTTCGCGCGGATCGGCAGCCCTCTGTGCCAGCGAGCGTTTGGGCAAATTAGGGTTTCTGCAAGTGCCCAACCGACCTTCTCGGTTTTCTCCCGCCACTTCCCCATCCCCCGACCACACACGTCCCTAATTCTCTCCCCCCCTCCCCCCCCCCCTCCCTCCCCTTGCCCGCCAGGCTGGACAAGTCGCGCATGTTCCTAGTGGGCGCGGGGCTCTTCAGCGGACTGACCGTTGCGCTCTATCCGCTCTCCGTCATCAAGACGCGCCTGCAGGTCTCCCCGCTGCCGCTCGCCGCCGCCCATGCCGCCCCCGCCTCCGCCTCCCCTTCCGCTTCCGCTTCCACCTCCGCCCCGGCTTCCGCTTCCCCTTCCGCTGGAGCGGGCGCCACTGCTGCTTCCGTAAGGCCTGCTGCCGCGCAGGCAGGGGCGGCGCAGGCAGCGCGCAATGTGGGGTTGGGGGGAACGGCGGGAGTGGGGAGAGTGGAGGGAACTGGAGTAGTCCGGGGGGCGGAGGCGCGGGGAGCGGAAGCTCGCGCTGGGGGGAATGGCGGAGGGGCAGCCGGGGCCGCGTCAAGGACAGTCGGAGGGGCCAGAGTGGCTACAGGTGTGACACCGGTAACACCAGTAACACCAGTAACACCGGTAACACTGGTAACACCGGTAACAGGAGCAACAGCTGCAGCAGGTGGGAGATCTACAGGAGGGGCATCCGCAGCAGCAGGAGGAGCAGGGAGGGCAGCAGGAGCAGCAGGGGCAGCAAGAGCAGCAGCAGGAGCTGCAGCGGCAGGGGGCAGAAGCCCGTCGTCCGTGCGGCTAGCGGTGGACATGGCGCGGCACATAGCGCGCACGGAGGGGCCGAGGGGCTTCTTCCGCGGCATGGGCACCGTGGTGGCGGGGATGCTGCCTGGAAGGATCATTTATATGACGGTGCTGGAAGCAGTGAAGGCGAACACGCTTAAAGGGATTAACGGCGTAACGGAGCTGCCTTTAGAGGGGCATTTGGAAGGTGCTAGCAGCAGCAGCAGTAGTAGCAGCAATGGTAGCAGTAAGAGCAGTGGTGCTAGCAGCAGCAGTAGCAGCAGTAGCAATGACAGCAGCACGAGCAGCGATGGCAGCAGCAGCAGTGGGACGGGCGGCACGGGGCGGTGGCTGCATTTGTCTGATACGGCAGCAGCTGGGCTGGCCAGCGCAGTGGGCGGCATGTGCGCGTCTCTGGCCACCCAAGCCGTGGTTGTGCCCGTTGATGTGGTGAGTGAGGGAGTGAGAGAGAGTGAGGGAGGGAGTGGTGCAGGAAGGGAAGGGTTGGAGGGATTGAGTAGTAGTGGGTGAGTGAGTGAGGAAGTGAGAGTGCAAGTGGGAGTGAGTCGGTGAGCGATTGCATGTGCGTGCATGTGTGTATGGCAGCCAAGAGTCACCACGAAAGAATGACACAAGCACGACTCTAGCACGCGCATCCTTTTCCTTCTTCCCTCCCCTCTCGCCCTCTCCTTCCTTCTTCCCTCCCCTCTCGCCCTCTCCTTCCTTCCTCCCTCCCCTCTCGCCCTCTCCTTCCTTCCTCCCTCCCCTCTCGCCCTCTCCTTCCTTCCTCCTCCCCTCTCGCCCTCTCCTTCCTTCCTCCCTCCCCTCTCGCCCTCTCCTTCCTTCTTCCCTCCCCTCTCGCCCTCTCCTTCCTTCCTCCCTCCCCTCTCGCCCTCTCCTTCCTTCTTCCCTCCCCTCTCGCCTCTCCTCCTTCCCTCTCCTCTCCTTCTCCTCCCTCTCGCCCTCTCCTTCCTTCCTCCCTCCCCTCTCCTTCCTTCTCCTCCCTCTCCCCTTCCTCCTTCCTCCCTCCCTCTCGCCCTCTCCTTCCTTCCTCCCTCCCCTCTCGCCCTCTCCTTCCTTCCTCCCTCCCCTCTCGCCCTCTCCTTCCTTCCTCCCTCCCCTCTCGCCCTCTCCTTCCTTCTTCCCTCCCCTCTCGCCCTCTCCTTCCTTCCTCCCTCCCCCCTCGCCCTCTCCTTCCTTCCTCCCTCCCCTCTCGCCCTCTCCTTCCTTCCTCCCTCCCTCTCGCCCTCTCCTTCCTTCCTCCCTCCCCTCTCGCCCTCTCCTTCCTTCCTCCCTCCCCTCTCGCCCTCTCCTTCCTTCCTCCCTCCCCTCTCGCCCTCTCCTTCCTTCTTCCCTCCCTCTCGCCCTCTCCTTCCTTCCTCCCTCCGCACCGTTCCCGCGGTTTCGTCCCCTCTTTTGCGTCCTTCACTCTTTCTCCGCCCCGGTTGCCCCCTCTCCGCCCCGGTTGCCCCCTCTCCGCCCATCAGATCAGCTCCCGTCTTGTGGCCCAACAGGGGGACCTACCCTCCAACCACGCCACCAGGCAAGCAGCACCACCACCGTTACGAGCAGCAGCAGCAGCACACCACCACCACCCCACCAGCAGCAGCAGCAGCAGCGGCAGGAGCGGTGCGGTACACAGGGGGGCTCCACGCACTAGTGACCATCCTGAAAACAGAGGGCCCAAGGGGCTGTACCGCGGGTTTGGGCTGTCTGTGATGACGTATGCGCCCTCGGGGTTCATCTGGTGGGGCACGTATGGCGCCGCTCAAAGGTTCTTCTGGAGGTGAGACGTGCGCATTAGATGGGAGGGACACTACCCCCCCCCCCCCCCCCCCGGCACATCCCCACTCCGCCCCCCTTGCCTCCCCTGTCAGCAGAGCACCTGCTAGCCTATTAGCACACATGAACGTTGGAAAAGAGCACTACTCCGTGGATGGCCTATGTGCCCCTGGGGTTCATCTGGTGGCGCACGTATGGCATTGCTTTGTGCTTGTGGTTCGCTCGTCTCGTCTTCTATCTCGCCCCCACATCCGCCCTCTTTCTCTCGCTCTCCCACCCACCCACACCTTCCCACTCGCATCTTACTCATCAACCCCCTTCCATGCACCGCATAGCATCGACTTCCATCGCATTGAACCCGTCGCATCACGCCCATAATCCCCCAACTCCCCTCACGCCCCTGCATGGCAGCACATGCGGCCGTTACGTCCATGCCTCTACAGCAGCAGCAGCAGCAGCAGCAGCAGCAGCAGCAGCAGGCAGTGCCGCAGCTCCTCCCTTGAACCTGGTGGTGGGCGTGCAGGTGGCATTCCGTTAATCCCCCTCCTCCCATGCCCCCCCCCCTCCCCCCCGTGCCAGCACATACGACCGTTACGTGCATGCAGCGGGCAGCACCACAGCGCCCCCTCTGGGTCTGGTGGTGGGCGTGCAGGTGGCAGGGGGCGTGTGTGCGGGGCTGGCGTCTGCGCTCGCCACCACGCCTCTTGACACGGTCAAGACGCGCATCCAGGTGAGATGATCTCTCTTGTGCTCACACAGTCTCTTGGTGTGAGTGAGGGGTGAAGACAAACCCCCTCCTGGCGGGAGTGCGGGTGGCAGGGGGTATCTGTGCGGGGCTGGCCACTGCGCTCGCCGCCACACCTCTTGATACCGTCAAGACGCGCATCCAGGTGAGTCGGTCTCTCCCTCGTGTCCAGTTAGACTGCTCTTTATGTTTCTCCACTCCGAACCTACCTCCGTACTCCACGTGCCACCTGGCACCACATGCCACCTGGCAGGCAGCAGGAGCAGCACCAGCACCCCACACGCCACCCCACACACCCCTTGGCAGGTGGGGCGCAAGACAGGGTCAGAGGCGTCTGTATCGGCGGTGGTGCGGCAGCTGGTGGCGCAGGATGGCATGAGGGGGCAGTAGCTGACTGTGTTACCCGACACACCACTCCGCAAACCACCCCCCACGCTTCTCCGTTAATGGCAGGTGGGGCGCAAGACAGGGTCAGAAGCGTCTGTATCGGCGGTGGTGCGGCAGCTAGTGGCACAGGACGGCATGAGGGGGCTGTACCGGGGGTTTGCCCCTCGCTGTGCCAGCACCATGCTGTGGGGCACCGCCATGGTGTCCACCTATGAGTACCTCAGTACGCACCCTCAACTCTCCTCACTTTGCTGTTTGCACGACTGTGTTGTTTCCATCCCCCATGGCCCTTTCTCTCCCATGCGTGCTGAGGAGAGGATACTATCTTGTGTTGTTTCATGCCCCCCCGGGTCTCTCCCATTCCAACCTCGCATGTTTGTGCAGAGTGCTTCACCTCGCACGTCCTTCCCCTCCCGCACTCTTTCTTCCACCCACGTCGTCCCACTCTTATGTGCCGCCCGTCCACAGAGCGCCTGTGTGCCAAGGATATCTCGACAGGCTCGTATGTTTCTCGAGAGCAAGGGGAGCACACGTGATCCCGAGGCATCCGAGAGCCAAGGAGGCGAGGAGAGCAAGGAGCCAAGGAGCCAAGGAGGCGAGGAGAGCAAGGAGCCAAGGAGCCAAGGAGGCGAGGAGGAGAGGGGGTTTTGAGAGCAAATGGCAACGCCTGCATGGAGACTGGCCGCTTCCATGTCGTGCTCCGTGCCTCCTTCACTCCTGTGCGGTGCCGTGCGGTGGCGTGCAGTGCGGTTGATGCGTAACTTTATTAGAACTGTAGGTATTATTATATATTCAGAATAGCAGCTGGTTTTCTTAGATATGCAAAAAAGGCTGGATTTGCGCTGCCAATAAATGCTGAACTCCGTGGATGATTATATCTTATTGACCTCAAGCATTCAAGAAGAAACACAAGTGAACACTGAACACTGATCACATCAAGGTGTCGTGGCACTGGAATAGCTCTGTCGAACCTCATCTCTCTCTAGGGAGGGTACTAGGGAGGCTTTCCCTGGGGAAGGTGGATATATGGAGCTTAACTCTCCTGAGGACATCCCTTCTTGTCCCAATGGTTAGGACAGGTGACTTCATGACACAAGGGGCACAGGTGTCATAGTGGAACCATATACACCGCCGAACCGATCCACCATTGATTCCTAGTGGCCAGCCCTTTTGCCATGGTGCTGCCTGCCTTGCACCGGCTTCTCGGCTCCTCCCTCCACCTCGCCCTCCTTCCCTTGTGATGAATCATCACTCCGCACACCATGGCCCGGGTACTCATACACCCCCCTCCCTGTCTTGCGGCCCAGCCACCCTGCGTCCACATACTGCACGAGCAGCGGGCACGGGCGGTACTTGGCGTCCCCCAGACCAGCATGCAGCACTCGCATGATGGCCACACAGGTGTCGAGGCCGATGAAGTCCGCCAAGTGGAGAGGACCCATGGGCTGCAATGGGGGCAGGGGGGAAGGAAAGGAGGAGCAGTGGAGGGCAAAGAGGAGGCTCAGAGACGAGCAGCGGGCGATTTTTTTGAATTCTAAAAAATCACCGACAACACGAGCAGCGGGTGGTGCTCGCAGCGCTCGCACTATGGACACACACGTCCTGAGGCCTATGATGCCAGCGACTTGAAGAGGACCCATGGGCTGGGAGGATGGGGGCAGGAGGGGTAAAGGCAATGATGAGAGAGGGCTACCAGCCGCGGGCATGGGCTACCAGCAGCCGGCATGGGCTACCAGCAGCGGGCATGGGCTACCAGCCGCGGGCATGGGCTACCAGCCGCGGGCATGGGCGGTACTTGGCCAGTGCTCACGCTAGCATGCGGCACTCATGGGCACACACGTGTAGAGATGTATGGCAGGTGGAATGGGCCCATGGGCTGTGTGAGGAGGCGAGGAACGAACGGGGAATCATCATATGGTGCACCTGTGCGGGCACAGATGGTAAGCGGCAGGGCGGATGTGCGCACAATGGGCACAGGTGGAACTTCACATCTTGTAGACCAACATGCAGTGGTGTACACTGGTGCACTGGGGCACTGGGGCACTGGGGCACTGGGGCACTGATGGTCGTCCAGTGGTCCAGCGGTGGTCGAGTGGTCCAGTGGTGGTCCAGGGGTGGTCCAGTGGTGGTCCAGTGGTGGTCCAGTGGTGCGCTGGTGCAGACTGGGTGCACTGGTGCACTCCCGCTCCTGCTCGCTCTCTCGCTCCTGCGCTGTTGCTCCCACTTCCGCTCCGGCTCCCGACCCACCTGGTTGGTCCCCAGCGTCATGCCTCTGTCAATGTCTTCCGCTGTGCTCACCCCCTCCAGCAGCACATAGAAGACCTCGTTGACCATGGGCATGAGCAGCCGGTTCACCCGTGCTCCGATTCTCACCTGCTCACTTCCACCCCTCCGTTCCTCACCTGGTTGGTCCCCAGCCTCATCCCTCTGTCGATGTCCTCTGCCGTGCCCACCCCCTCCAGCAGCAGACAGAACGCCTCGTTGACCACGGGCATGAGCAGTGGGGAGAACCACGGGTATTTTCTTTTCCTTCCTCCCTCACGTGCCGCGTACTGGTAGCGTCTCAAGGCTCACCTGGTTGGTCCCCAGTCTCATGCCTCTGTCGATGTCCTCTGCCGTGCCCACCCCCTCCAGCAGAGTGTAGAAAGCCTCGTTGATCATGGGCATGAGCAGCCGATTCACTATGAACCCAGGGTAGTCCCGCGCCTCACACACCTGCTTGCCGAACCTGAAGGGCAGGTTCGGGGGGAAGGTGCGGGAATTGGGGGGAAAGTGGGGGGATTGGGGGGAAAAGGGGGGGGGTTGGGGGGAGATGGAAGAAGGTGGAGGCAGGTGTGCACCCCAGGTGATAGTTGTGTGAGAAGAGAAGTTGATGATGTTATTGAAGAAATGAGGGTATACATAGGTGTGAGGGTAAGAAGGGGGGGGGGGGGGTTGGTTGGGACCTTGGCCAAGATTATTGGTCCCCACCAATAATGGAGTTGGGAATTATTGGGGGGTACAATGATCCCAACCAAGATTATTGGAGGGTCCAATAATCTTGGGAGGATTATTGGGGTCTCCAATAATTGGGAGGTCAAGCCCATTGGGGGGGCCAATAATGGCCAAGGTTGGAACCCAAACAAGGTGGGAAGCCAACCCCCAACCTAGGGTTACTACACCCTAGTAGAGATATGTTGCTTACAATGACCTAAGCCTTATAAACGATGTAGGCTAATATAGAATAGGGGAATATTCTAACACAACCCTTAGCCTACATAGGGCTAGAAGGCGGAGGCGCTTGAAAGAGCAACCCCTGAATTAGGTGCTCCCGCGAGAGGAGGGAGGAGCGAGGCCAGTTAGCCGGAGAAGAGTAGCATGAGCGGGCCGAGAGAGAGCTTTGGTGAAAATATCTGCAAGGTTGGCGGAGGAGTCAATCTTGCGGACGGCCAGGTGCCCGGCCTGGACAAGCTCGCGGACGAAGTAGTGGCGCAACTCGATGTGCTTGGAGCGGCCGTGGAAGACGGCTTCCTTGGTAAGGTGAATGGTGCTGGCATTGTCGCACCAAATGATGGGACAGGGCTGGGGGGCATCCAGCTCAGCGAGGAGGTAGCTAAGCCACCGTGCCTCCTGGGCCGCCATGGTGACGGCGTAAAGTTCGGCTTCGCAGGAGGAGAGAGCTATGGAGGAGGAGCGGGTGGAGCGCCATGAGATGAGACCGCTGCCAAGGGAGAAGCCATACCCTTGAGAACTGCGGCGGTCGGGTTGGGAGTCGGCCCAGGACGAGTCACTGTAGCCAATGAGCGCAGGAGGGGAGGGTCCTCCAAGGGTGAGGACATAGTCCTTGGTGCCTTGTAGGTAGCGTAGAACACGCTTGGCCGCCTGCCAATGCTCGAGAGTGTGCTTGCCAGCACCGACAAGCGTGCCAGGACGCTGATGGGGTAGGCGAGGTCAGGACGTGTGCACATCATTGCGTACATCAAGGACCCAACGAGCTCTGCGTATGGTTGAGTGGAGGAGGAGGGGGTGGCGGCGGGGGAGAGCTGGTGTCCGACGGGAAGCGGCGTGGAGATGGGTTTGGCTGTGGCCATCTCGAACCGCTCAAGGACCTTTGGACGTAGAAGGCTTGAGAGAGAGAGATGGTTTTCGCCGCGCGGTCACGGGTGATCTCCATGCCGAGGTAGTTGCGGACTTCTCCCAGGTCCTTGCAGGCAAGGCGCCTCTGAAGCTCGTTCTTGACTTGCTGCATTTCAGCGTCATTGTCGGCGGCGAGTAACATATCGTCGACATAGACGAGAATGTAGAAGGGGGAGGGAGAGGTGCGGAGGAAGAGGCTGGTGGCAGCCGCGGAGGGGCGAAAACCAAGGTCTCGAAGGGTGCTGGAGAGCTTGGCGTGCCACTCCCGAGGAGCCTGCTTGAGGCCGTACACAGGGCGGCGGAGCTCCCAGACAGTATTAGGGTCAAAGGGGAGATGCCAGCCCTTGGGGCGCTCCATGAAGATGCGTTCATGAAGCTCGCCCTGCAGGAATGCCGTAGTGACATCCATGGAGTGAAGGATCATGCCACGTCGACCGACAAAGTCGAGGAAGACGCGCACAACTGGCGGTGTCGCGGTCGGTGAGTATGTCTCGAAGAAGTCGTGACCATACCGCTGCGTAAAACCTTTAGCGCAGTAACGAGCTTTGTAGATTGGGTCATCGCCGGGAAGGAGCTTCACACGAAAGACCCACTTGCCCTTGACCACGTTGGTGTTGGGGGGGCGAGGGACGTCGACAAAGGTGCCATTGCGTACGAAGGCTTCGTTCTCCTTGAGGACGGCCTTTCCCCAATGAGGACTGTCAGGGCAGGTCATGGCTTCATCATAGTCTCCGGGCTCGAAGATGATGGGCGCGCCTTCGAAGACCAAGACTGGCGCCCCGGCGACGTTGAAGGCGACGGCGCAGGAGGAGGAAAAAAGGTGGAGGCGAAGGAACTCGCCATGGGAGTCCTCAATAAGGAGAGGAGAGAGAGGCGGAGGTAGGGGTGGTGGCGAGATGGCAACTCGGCCACACGGCTGCACGTTGCTGTTGCAATGCTGGACTGGTGCGCTGCTGCATGGCGGGATCGTCGCGTTGTTGCATGACGGAGTTGGAGGGCTGTTGTACAGGTGGACTGCTGCGCTGCTGCACGGCGGGGGTGGTGCTGCAGAAGGAGGGGCGGAGGGGGTGCTGTCAGAGGGTATCTGGATGGAGGGAGGGGGAGGGGACTGAGGTCGGGAGGTGGGGGCAGGGATGGGAGGACCAAAAATGGGATCCATGGACCGTGTATGCGGGCGATGCCGAAGAACAAGAGGAGGTTGATCCTGGGCAGGAGCGGGGGCAGGAGGGGGGGCAGGAGCGGGGCCAGGGGCAGGAGGGGCAGGATAGGTGGCGGCTGAGGCGGGATCAGAGGCGGAGGTGGAAGCGGGAGTAGGGGCAAGAGGAGGGGCGGAAGCGGAGGAGGGGGAGGGAGAGGGGGGGATTACCAAATCAGAGGCGTCGTCAGATTGACCAGAGGACGGGGGAAGTGGGGGAGGGGGAGGTGGGGGGACAAGGGGGGAGGGGGGAGAAGAGGCAGGGAGATCGTGTCGGACACAGTGAGAGGGCGAGGGGTGACAGTAAGAGGGTCACTTGTGGGGGGGAAGAGTAGTACGGGGTGGATTCGTCGAAGACGACGTCCCGACTACGTATGAGACGACCTGAGGGGGGATGGAGAAAAAGGTAATCAGGGGAAGAAGGGTTGTGCCCAAGGAAGATGCAGGGAAGGGCCTTGGAGGCAAGCTTCCCTGCTGTGCGAGAGCGGTCGGCGGGGTGTATGAGGACATGAGCCTTTGAGCCCCAGACGCGAAGGGGAGAAATATCGGGCTTGGAGGACGTCCAAAGCTCGGTAGGGGTAGTGGAAGGACGGAGGGGGTGGGGGTAGAGGTTAGTTAGGAGGGTCGCGTGGAGGAGGGCATAGCCCCAAAGAGAGGGCGGGCACGAGGCATGGACTAGGAGACACCGAGCAGTTTTAGTGATCTCTCGAATCCGAGCCTCGGCCAAACCATTCTGCTCTGGGGAGTGCGGAAGGGTATGGGTATGGCGAATGCCATGGGAAATGCAGTATGAGGAAAACTGCTGGTTTAGGAATTCGCCGCCTCCATCGGAGTGGAAGCGACGAACGGGGCGTTTAAAGTGTGTACGGGCTTGCTCTGCCCAAGCGATGATCGCAGCCGGAGCCTCGGCCTTCGTTCGAAGGAGAGAGACCGAGGTATACCGGGAGTGATCGTCGACGAGGACAAGAAGGTAGCGGTGACCCTGGCGGGTAGGGGAGGGGTTGGGTCCCCAGAGATCCATATGGACAATGTCCAGGAGCTCAGGGGCATATGAGGGGTGGCTTTTATGAGGGAGTTGTTTCAGCTTAGCCTGAACACAAATGGTGCAGGGAGGGGCAGGAGAGGGAGGGAGAGGGGGAACGGTGAGTGGAAGGCCTTTGAGAAGGCCAGTGGCAACAGTGCGTTGGAGGGTGGCAAAATTGGGATGCCCAAGGCGGTGGTGGAGGAGTAGGGCGGGATGGGAGAGATCCCGGCAGTGGCATTGGGATGGGGGGGGTGCTGGAGGAGAGGAGGGACTGGTGGGTGGGGGTTGAAGAGGAAAAAGTGTAGGGGGACCGGAGGGGGTAAGAGAGGCAGCCTGACACAAGGCGGGACGAGGAGTGCGAAGGGTGTACATACGAGAGGTAGGACATAAGGGGACACGGGTGATAAATCGACCGGAGGTGGAGTGATACAAGTCACAGTGGGAAGCGTGGCCGGGGTAGATCGTAGTCACCTCGGCACGTTGGAGGGCACCTTGGGAGACAAGGTTAGTACGAAGTGAGGGGATGTGAAAACCTGTGACGGAGCCAGAGGGAAAAAGGGGACAGGGGAGGGTGGAGGTGTGAGTGGTGGTGATGGAGAAACTGGAATCTGCCCCAAGGATGGTGGAGGGGGAGGTGAGGGGAGCAAGATGACCGGCGTCACGGAGGACCGTGGCGCTTGCTCCACTGTCAATTACGAACTCAAGGGGAGGGGAGGAGTGGGTCCGGGAATACTGGAAAGAAGCTTCATTAATAGATTCGGGATACAGAATAGTGGGATCGGGGTGAGTAACATGACCTAAGAAACCAGCAGAGGGAAGGGAGTGAAACCGGGAGGACCAGAGGGAGTCTGGGCAGTTGTGGCCGGTATAGCAGTCGAAGCGGAGGATTGCTGAGATGGGGGAGGAGGAGTCGGCTGCTGCTGCTGCTGTTGCGGCTGTTGCTGCTGCTGCTGCTGGTACTGCTGCTGGTACTGCTGTTGGTACTGCTGCTGGTACTGCTGCTGAGACGGCTGGTGCTGCTGGGGGTACTGCTGCTGCTGCTGGGTGTACTGCTGCTGCTGCTGCGGAGGGAGAAGGGATTGAACCTGCTGGAGGACTTGGAGGACAGGTGCTGTGCCAGGATCTGGCGAAGGGAGGGCGGCTGGTAGGCGGGAGAAGTGCGAACATCAAGAGCAGTGGGGGGCGGAGTCATGGACGACCAGCGAGGTGGGATACCAGTGTTCCCGCGGTCAAACCATTCATCCGTAAGTGCCTTGAAGCAGGTGGTTGTGGGATGAGTAGTTTGGAGGCAGCGCTGACCTTTGTTGGTGCCGTAACGAATGAGATACTGACATGGAGGGTAGTTACCGGTGCCTCGGCCGCTGCCCACCGCCGCGTCCACCACTGCGTCCGCCCCCGCGACCTCCTCCAGAGCGCCCCGCCGTGCTGCCCACCACGTCCGCCAGCACGTCCACCACGTGCCTGTGCGGCATTCACGGTTGGGGGAGACTGGCGGAGGAGTTCTGCCTCAGTCTTTAGGATCCACGTGACGACCTCGGTGGAGTCAGGCGTGTAGCGGGCATGGACTTCATCGAAGGCCACCTTGCGCGTGTCAAACATCGGCGAGAGGCCGTCGAGGAGGCGGCACACAAGGAGGGAATCGGGAAGAGCTGAGGCGCCGGGTGAAAGCAAGCGCGTTGGGGCAGCTATCGAGTGTGATCTCGAGGAATGCACGATGGAGTGCGAGGAGGGAGTTTGTGTCCTGCAGGTCATAGGTGGCACAAAGCTCCTTCCAGAAAGAGGCAGAGGAGGAGGGATTGATCTCGCGTTTAAGGGAGGAAGGGACGCAAGCAATGAGGATGGAGAGGCATTTGCGGTCAGCTTGAACCCAAGCAGCATAGCGAGTGCGGAAACTCACGAGAGTCTGCGGCATGCTGAGCAACGTCTTCGTCATACTTGGAGATGTGCTTTGGCCTCGTCGTGGGCGTTCTGCTTCTCGGAGTAGGTGTGTTGGAGAAGAGTGTAGTCGGCGAAGTCTTTGTCGTACTTAGTGCGGAGGCGAGCCCAGCGGTCAGGATCAGTGTTGTACTCGGGGTGAGTGGGCTTGATGGGCTCAGGTCCTGAGGGGGGATCAGGGGGGGGGGAAGGGCGGGGGCCAAGCTTGGCAGGGGGGGAGGGGGGCTTTCCTGCCTCAGTGTCCTCGAGGATGTCGAGGAGGCAGAAGTCGTTGATGATGGTGGAGCCGAGAACTGTGGTGATGCTTTGCGCGAACGAGTTCCAATTGATAGGAACCACGCCATCGGCGAGTTCAAGTGCATCGATGGTGCTGATGTCAACCGCGAGCGAGTCCGTTGCCATGGCGGGTGGGAATCACCTACGTGCAGCCAGCTACCAGCGACCAGGGACCGGCTTCCAGCGACGGGAGGGGAGGGGGAGGAGGAGAGAGGAAGGAGAAAAGGACGGGTGCGCGGAGCGCAGCTCTTAAGTCGCCGTAGGCCTTGGAATCCTTCCACGAAAGGGTCGTCGAGCGGCACGGATGGCGAGATTGCGTCGCGTGGTAGTGCGTGCTGCGCGCGACGAGCGGTGACGACGGGAGGGTCGCGAAATGCGGCGACGAGCAACCGCGAAATGGAGTGACGGAAAGGCCGATAAATGCGGCGACAAGAGGGCCGCGAAGTGCGGCGACGGGAGGGCCGCGAAGTGCCGCGACGAGCGGTCGCGACAAGCGGCGACGAGAGAGCCACGAAATGCGGCGACGGGAGAGCCGCGAAATGCGGCGACGGGAGAGCCGCGAAATGCAGCGACGAACGGTCGCGACGAGCGACAACGGGGGAGCAGCGAAATGCGGCGACAAACGGTCGCAACGGGCGGCGACGGGAGAGCCGCGAAGTGCGGAGATGAACGGTCGCGACGAGCGACGACGGGAGAGCCGCGAAATGCGGCAGCGGCGTGGAAATGCGCGCGGAGAGGGCACGGGGTGCGCTAGGGGGGGCAGCGCGGAATGCGCGGGAGCAAGGCGCAGAGTGCGCGGAGGGAGGGCGTGGGAAGGAACACGCTTTCAGGATCGTTCTACGAGGTGGCGTGAGCCATAGGCTCTGATACCATGTGAGAAGAGAAGTTGATGATGTTATTGAAGAAATGAGGGTATACATAGGTGTGAGGGTAAGAAGGGGGGGGGGGGGGGTTGGTTGGGACCTTGGCCAAGATTATTGGTCCCCACCAATAATGGAGTTGGGAATTATAGGGGGGTCCAATGATCCCAACCAAGATTATTGGAGGGTCCAATAATCTTGGGAGGATTATTGGGGTCTCCAATAATTGGGAGGTCAAGCCCATTGGGGGGGCCAATAATGGCCAAGGTTGGAACCCAAACAAGGTGGGAAGCCAATCCCCAACCTAGGGTTACTACACCCTAGTAGAGATAGGTTGCTTACAATGACCTAAGCCTTATAAACGATGTAGGCTAATATAGAATAGGGAATATTCTAACAAGTTGAACGCCCATTGATCATGGACATGAGCAGACGGTTCATGGCACCGTGCCTCACTCACCTGCCTGTCAAACCGAACCTGGAGGGGAGGCTCGGGGAAGGGGGGCCAGTAACACATAACGGATAGCATAGGCCACCGGTGGATGGTGGACGGTGGACAGAGGACGCTGGACGCTCGACGGTGGACGGTGGATGGCGTTTAGCGGTGGACAGTGGACGGTGGAAGGTGGACGGCGTCCACCGGTGGATGGTGGACGGAGGACGGTGGGCGGTGGACGGCGTCTACGGGTCGACGGTGGATGGTGGATGGCGTCCACCGGTGGACGGTGGAAGGTAGACAGCGTCCACCGGTGGATGGTGCACGGTGGACAGTGGACGCTGGACGCTGTGCGGTGGACGGTGGAAGGTGGATGGCGTCCACCGGTGGACGGTGGACGGTGGACGGTGGACAGTGGACGGTTGACGGTGGACGGTGGACGACGTCCACCGATGGACGGAGGACGGTGGACAGTGAACAGTGGACGGTGGACGGTGGACGGTGCACGTCGTCCACCGGTGGACTGTGGACGGTGGTCGGCGTCCACTGTTGTGCTGTGCACTACCGTGGTGCTGTGCGCTACCGTGGTGCTGTGCGCTACCGTGGTGCTGTGCGCTACCGTGGTGCTGTGCGCTACCGTGGTGCTGTGCGCTACCGTGGTGCTGTGCGCTACCATGGTGCTGTGCGCTACCGGGGTGCTGTGCGCTACCGTGGTGCTGTGCGCTACCGTGGTGCTGTACGCTACCGTGGTGCTGTGCGCTACCGTGGTGCTGTGCGCTAAAGGGGAAGGGCTGGATGAGATGGGCCTTGGATTGGGCTGTAGTAGGTCTAAGTTACTGCGAAGACTGGGACACTGGGTTACTTGGTTACTGGGTTACTCTACTTGCTGTGATGGATGCAGGTGCTTCCAACCATACCGCCCCCTGTGCGATTCTATTCCGTACACAGCCACCTGAATCAATGCTGCGTGGCAGTGACTCACCTGTGCGCGAGGCCTTTAGTGAGGTGCAGGGTGTGCTCGGATGTGGCGAGTCCCCTGACCACCTCCACCAGCGACATGATGACTGGCGGGTTCATGAAGTGCATGCCGATCACCTGCGGGGTGGGGGTAGGGGGGGAGAAGAATGAATGAGGGGGAGGGGAGATGTATGAAGGAATGAGGGGGGGTGGGGAAGATGTATGAATGAGGGGGGGTGGGGAAGATGTATGAATGAGGGGGGGTGGGGAAGATGTATGAATGAGGGGGGTGGGGAAGACGTATGAATGAGGGGGCGGAGATGTATGAATGAGGGGGTCATGAGCCATGAGCCCCTTCACCGCCTGCACTAGCGACATGATGACCGGCGGGATCATGACATGCATGGCGATCACCTGCAGGGGAATAAGGGGGCGAACGAGAGCACATAAGAGTATGAAGGGGCCACGAGGCACGCGCCTTTGTACCACTTCCACTCACCACGAAAGGCTTTAAGGGTTCACATGGAACGATATGAATGCCGATGAGCTCTCATGGCAAACACTTTGCACCTCACCACTTCTCTGCCTCACTCTCTGCCACGGCCGACCCTCCGTGCCGCCTACCTTATCCGGTCTGCTCGTGGCAGCAGCGAGTCTGGTGATGGAGATGGTGGGCATGGGGACCGCCACTTAGTGCGCTCACCGTATCCGGTCGGCTCGTGGCAGCAGCAAGCCGATGGAGATAGAGCTCGTGTTGCTCTCCAGCACTGCATGGTGCGGCGCAATGCAAAACAATGGAATCGGGACCGCGA